GTTCGAATTCATGTTTTCTGGGAAGTATCCCCAAAAGGTACAAATAATTAAACCTAAAGTAGTAAAGTAGTCCTGTCAATGAAAGAAAGATCACAACCAGAACTATATACAATTTCTTTAATTTCTTTTTATTTATTTTTTTTAGAAAAAAGAAAAAGGAAAGAGCAAAATTTCATGTAAAGCCGCGCAGATTGATGGTATAAGTAACTATTACTTCCAGAGACAATCTGAGTTAGTATAATATAATACTCTTTCTGTCTCAAAATTATTGTCCAATTTGAAATTTTATTTTTAGTATAATTTGAATTAAAAATGAAAATCCAAACTGGACAATAATTATAGAACAGAGAAAGTGATGTATAGCGGCCACTTCAAGCCTTCAAAGGTAATAAAGGAAAAATACAAGATGCATAATTTGATTCATCTTTTTTGGTGTTTGTGGCTCCCAATTTCACGGTTTTCTTGTTTCACTTTCGTTGGCAGCACTTTGAGGAAAAGTTAGAAGAACCAAGCAAAAAAACTAGATCAATTTTGAAGCTTTTCCTCCTTTTTAGTATTTCTATCTTGCCACTATTTCAAATTATTCACTTTCAACTAGGAACTAAATATTTTTGTGTGTACCAAAAATATTAGTATATATGAAGGGGGACAATGTACATTATATTGCACGAGTTTTAGTCATCTAATGCGGCAAGAACGAAATTATTAAATCAATCAAATTGGCCTTAAATTTACTCAGCAAAAGATATTCAAATTTTGGTGTATTATTAGTAAGTGGTGGAAGGTTCACCGCCAAAATCAATTGGGGCAGGTACGGAGGAGGCTTCCACGGCTCCACCGGTTATCAGTCCTTTCGGGTGTAATTTGTGGTGGTGGGATTAATTAACCATACTACATTATTAAACAGCGGCTCCATTTTCTGGGGTCCACGTAGTCCTCTCATCGTGTTGAATAAGATACTACTGCGTACAGTGTTATTACTTATTTGTTGAGCACCACTGGTGCACTAACTACTTCTTTTACGCTCTGGGTTTGTAGTGTTTCATGATGCAGCCAAATGTAACGTCGTGATTCGTGTCCGGACTTCACCGTGATAAATGCCGTTTATAGTCTCTTTGCTTTGCCCACCACCACTATTCTTGGACTAAGACAAATAATGGCATCAGTTTTCACCTAATTCATTAATGCTGATTAGTGTTTCTTAATCACTTCCATAAATCGTGAATGCACAGTTGCACACCATGACTAATGTAACTTTGTCTCGTTAATTTTTTAGTACTAGTAATGTATATCAGGCATCCGATTTCCAAAGTCACAGTGTCGATTAATCTAAATGCGAACCGGATAAGTTTATCAGAACCTAATTTTTTTGTTTATTGGACCAAATGCGAGATCATGAACTTTTTTCCAGGTAGTTTAATGTTTTTAATGTAGTACTGGTACTTAATTATGGGTTTGTTGAACTGATGATTAAACAATATTAGTGCACAAGATGGAGCATTTTAGCCATTAGGGGGGGAAAAGCTGCTTGTCGTACCGAGTCATTTTAAGTAATGAAAAGAAATCCATTTGGCAGCTTTTCCTCCATCATCTACCTAAAACCAAGGTTTAACTACTAGTATAACGGTCACCAATTGGAGGTTGGGGTTCTTTTCATGGTTGCTAATAATTTCTTGTAACCAATTAACCTAACCACGCTCCAGTCTCCACGCTCCATTTATAAAATTGAGTGAGATATCAGATTTTCTTTTATAAAAAATCACTTTCATGTGTCAGAAAATTGACCCAAAAGGTAGTGTTCCTCAACTTATTTTCCTTCAAGAAATCAGAATGCACTTTAATATAGAAACAATACATAACTCATGCAGTCTGAAGATAATGGAAGAAAAGGACATAATTTCTCCAACGGCCTGAGAAATGAGATAAGCGCTGAGGAAAGGCAAGAAAGGAAAGACCCCATAATTTCCAGCTATATTTCTTTTTTTTTTTGGTTCATTTCAGTTCAGGGAGCGGGCCAAAAGAGTCAAAGACTTTTGAGGGTGATGATTATGACTCCGAAGGAGAGGAGTTCAGGGTACTCTCGTTGGCTTCTAACATCTTCAAACAATTATAATAATGTTTGTTTCTATTTATTGACATCATTTCTTGTCAAGTTTATCTTCGAGGAAGATAATGTAGAAATGTGATCACTAAAAAAACACCAAAATAGAACACATTAGAAGCTTTGAACGGTATAGGACTATAGGTAATAGGTGGTCCCTTTTACTACATCCCCATACCATTTGGTTCCTCTATACCATATCAGAATATCCAACAAATTAATAGTCCTTCTATATATTTTTTTTATAAAAAAACTTTATTATTCTGTTTCAGTTCAACAGAGTAAATTATTTTTTCAGAATGGAGGGAATATTACTTGTTAGTCTAAAAAACAATGTCAAGCTCATTAAGTTCAGCATACATGATTTTTTTTTCTTTTTTTTTTTTGTTGGATTGAAGGAGTAAATTTTTTCTTCAATTATAGTGTAACATTGTCAAACACCATGAAACGAGTAGGTTATATACAATTCCGTTGTGTTGATTCAAAGGAACAAGATGCCTTTCTCCCCAAAACCGCCAAAGATTTCCGCGTTGTGAGGTTCCATTTTTCCTTCGATAGAAATTCAATTTGAATTTGTTTTTTTTTTTTTCCAGTGATTATAAATTGATGTTCGTTGAACCTTTGATCACATCATAGTTTTTGTTACGTCTAAATTTTGTTCGATCCAGCTAATTCACTAGCTGTTCTGGATAGAGACCATTCTAACTACATTCACACATTCATTCGTCCCTCGATTTATTTTTCCCCAATATTATTTTTTTAAAAAAAATAAAATAAAATCATGCTTATTGGCCTATTGGGTCTGATAGAACTGAGTCTGAGTGGGACGCCACACACATCGTTTTTGCCTTTGATTTTATTTTGGTTTTTCCCTTTTCCGATTACAAAAACTTCATAACATATCAACAAGCCAAATTGTACACTGGCTTACAAAATAGCACATAGAATATTAAGTCGAAAAACCTGGTAGTTTATTTCTAGTTGATTTCAATAACCATTTCTACGACACAAGCAAAACAATCATTTTGAAACAAAACGACGATAAACGTATTAAAAATATATAATCTGGCCGACTTTGAAAGGTTTCATCAGGTTAGCATGTACCTAACCTTTACGGTCAATTCAAGTGACGTAAACAATTATAGAGTCGACCCGTTCCTTGTTGTGCAATGTTGAATGATTCGGTTGAAAAAAAAAAAACATTAAAACAGCATATAATTGTTCATATGGTTGACATTAAGGATACTAATAATGTTTCTGGGACAATCTATTGGCTCATATTTCATGTGATGATCACATCATATTATTACTTACGTACTATTGCTTCGTTTTCGAATCTGATCCATTACCACCCAGCAGAGTGATCATGTATCAGTTAATCAAATGGTGTATGCAAATAATTATTGGCCCAGATTGCCAGCCGCTGATCAAGACAATATGAAAATTAATCTTAACTGGATAATCTTTTAACTGTTTGAAACTTGAAACTTGGCGTCAACCAGTTGAGTTATTATTTTAATGAAGCCAATTTTGGGCTTTTGTTCTCCTTCTTAAACCGTTTATTTTACATTGTCTTATAGCTTCTGGGTGTTCCCCTTCATTCATTTTCCTGTTACGACACTGAAGGTTATTTGAAGCTACTATTGGGTGGGGGGTACAGATTAACTCGTGGTTAGAAGTTAAATGGACTTTAATTATCTAGTTTTATAAATCTACAAAATTTGAATCTTCTCTATTAATGATATATATCTAAATAGTCCTAGTTCTTTTAGTATTGAGGCAAAACAATTATACTTGTGCGTCAACTTAGCTATACCGACGAGACAAACGACGCACTCAATTTTCACACTAAAATGTAGTTGTTGCGATCTTAGATGATCGATGCCTAGGTATAAAAGAATATGACAAGGAAATAAATTTTCAATTATGAATAGAAAACTCGTCAATCAAGTTTTTGAATAAATTTTTAGATGGTGCTGATTTCTAGTCTTGTGAAAAAGAAAAACCAGCAGCCTAATTGAAAATCGAATATATTGTACTAATTTTATGACACGACAATTTCACAAGTTAACTTGTCATGTTACTACTCCCTGCATTCCATAATTATTGTCCAGTTTGGGTTTTCATTTTTAGTTCAAATTGTACTAAAAGTGAAATTTCAAACTGGACAATAATTATGAAACCGAGGGAGTATATTTTATTTTGTATTATTTTCTTCAGTCTCCCGTTTCACCCTTGCATCACAAGATTCACACCCACTACACCGTTGCTTCCAAAGGCTTTGCACGGATGAAATTATTAGTTATAAAGTTACAGTTTATTAGCAGTAAGTTTTGTAAGTTGACTTATTCTTTTGGGACGATAAAACAATTCTTTATCGACATCAATCAAGTATCAATCACTTAGTAGAGGTTGAAATAGTTGGCTCAAAGAATTAAAATTATTACTCTATGCTCAAGTCGAGGTTTATATATCCGACTTATTTGAAGAAGATGGACGAGTTATTTTAACTCAATTGCACATTTGAAGCAAAATGAGACCGGGAGAATGGAGGCCCATCTAATTAACATGATAATAGAACCAAAGCACTCAAATAGTTGGGCCTAATTACCGAGACGGGTATGATATATCATTTTTGTTGAAACAACCTATTCAACGGAGGATAAATTTTACCTTTTGATCACAATAACTAATGGTAGGATTGACAAAAGATTTCTAAACACACAAGATAGTCCAATTTAGCCAGTCAGCTAAATTGATTCTCATTTCTACTAATATACATAGTAGCCACCTTGATGGGAATGAGTAATTTAAAGTTGTTTCCATGTCTTTGACGGAGTTAGAACTCTCGGACGGAAGAATTCTTATCATTTTACCACAACAGTGAACTAATAACAAGGCCAGTTCAGTCCAAGTCTAAGTCAGCAATAACAAGGCCAGTTCCGCTCTGCACTGTAATCTTAGCCCATTTGCGTAATTATAGGACACAGTATGACAAACGTTTGGATTTCATTGCCAAAATATTATTCGCTCTCATGAAAAGAGGAGCTCTAAGTACATGGTTTTCCTTTTTACAAATTTTTCTTCCGCGAATAATATTTGCACATTCTAAAAGAAAGTTTCTGCAAACTTTTTTTTCTTTTTACACAACTTCAACTCCTTCCGTCTTCGATGAAGTTCTCAACGAATATCTGCAAGCCTCAATCGCATCGTCGATCGACAAGTAAACTGATTCCTTCCCAATTTTCTCTATGAATTTTGTCACAATTAATTTTTCCATCACTGCAAGCCTTGGGTCTACCAAGATCATCTGCACCAACAAAATTATCTTGTCACGATAACTCTAAAGGGCTCCTAAATTTTGGAAGAAAATGAAGTGAAAATTATGTTAAAGACTCGAAACCAACCTTGATATCCTTGGCTTCTAAGAGTCTTCGAATTTCTGAGAACGTTTCTACTCCCGTGATATCGATGGATGTCACATCTGTAACATTATTAAGAGTTAGAAATGAAACATAATATCTTCTAATAACACATGTATAGTGAATTAGTGATACGATAACATAAGACTTACCTCCCAAATCGAGTATTATATACTCTATAACATTTCCTTTTGATGTCACTAGAGACTGTTCTTGTCTAACATACCTTAGTATCCTGTAATACACGGCAAAGTGTTAGAAGCAGTTGCAAAAAGGAACCAAAATACAGCCTTCTAGTCATTGAAATATAATAAAGAAGTTACCTTTCTCTAATGTATTGACAATTGGCGTAGTAAATAGGGGATCCTAGCTTTATGGGTAAGATTCCAGGAACAAGGGTAGCATGCGGATACTGCTCCACATCTCTGTACAGTTTCGAACCAGGAATGTTCCCAAGTTTACATGTAGCTGGCCTAGCCACATATAAAAGTGCCCTAACTAAAGCAAGTCCTACCTACATTATGTCAAAAATAAAGAAATTAGACAAAGATAGTTAGTTAGTCGCAAAAACGCTTTCCATAGAGTTCTGCTGTAGAAATTCTTACCGAAAGCATAAGGCCGACGTCCATGCTAATGAAGGCAACACCGAAGAATCCAGCCATGCAGATTAAGAAGTCGAACTTGTCGGTCTTGTAGAGGTGATAGGCTTTTTCGTACTCAATAAGACCTAACATGGCTGACATGATAATGGCGGATAGGGCGACGAGGGGTGTGTAACTAAATAACGGGGCTAAGAACAGAAGCGTCAGCATCATACAAATCGACATTACTACATTTGACATTTGTGTTCTGCATCCAGCATTGAAATTCACTGCTGTTTTCGAAAATGGACCTGCAGCAAGAAATCAAAAACAGATTTCTTCCATGAGAATATGTTCACAAAATTTCGATTTTTGGAAAACTTTTCTTTATGTGTTACTGTACCGGTAGTCAAGTAGCATGAAGTTAGAGATCCAATAATGTTCATGAACCCAAAAGCTATCATTTCTTTGTTCCCATCAATTTGTTCATTTTTTATTATGGCAAAACTCCTTCCAATTGCTATTCCTTCCTGCATTCAACAATTCATAACACTTCAATTTTAGATTTTATTCCCGGATATCCTATTTGAAACACTGGAAAGCGTTACTTACTGCTAAAGCAATCATTGCGGTAATAAGTCCAGCCTTCAATGGAGCGGAGACATATTTAGGATCAAAGTTGATGCGATTGATTGAGGGCGGGTTAATTCCTTTCTTAAGAGGTCCGACCTGTACATAACAAAAAGTAAGAAAACATGGTACCAAATTAATACCATTAATCAGCTAAAACATTTCATCTACAAATTTGTCAATGATTAAAGGCAATTAGCTGTGACATTATTGATTCAAGTTGATAAAGCTTAACTTCCAATATTTTCTTCCTCCAAATTGCTCGAGGTTCATCTGGTGACGGTCATTTTTAACCGCTAAAGTGCTTCTATTCCTACTTTACAATTTCAATGCTTATACTGTTCTTCAGTCAACACCAAATTAATCTTTTGCTAAGAAAAGTGGCGACTTGTACAGGAAGATTAGTGTCCTGATATATATATATATATATATATATATATATATATATATATATATATATATAGTCTTATTGATGGGAGAGTGGGACCCAAATATGCTACCGAAAGATTAACAGAAACAAAGATAGAATAAGAATTTAATCAAGTCTAAATCCCCTTTTGCTAATAACAGTTACAAAATTTGGCAACCTAAGATACTAAAAAACGAAACTGTATTACTTAGTATGGGTTATAAGTTTTACGAATAAATTATACTTCCTCCGTCCCATAATTATTGTCCAGTTTGAGTTTTCATTTCTAGTTCAAATTATACTAAAAGTGAAATCTTAAATTGGACAATAATTTTGAAACAGAAGGCTGTCTGAAAAAATTGCCGACCTTATGGATCAAAGGTTATCATCTTATTGTACAGATAGGGTTTCAGATTGGAATGGAGGTGGAGCATGCAAGTGACCTAAATTAGTTATCCACTTAATTTGGAATGCTAAATAAATAGGACGGTGGATAATAACTCACAATAGCAATTCCGTGTTTCTCAGCATGAGCAAAATAAGCAAAGAGCCCGCCAACAATGACTACTGTTATTGGAGCAATTGCTGACACCCAAAACAAATTTGGTCTCCTTTGCTTCTGCAAAGGTTGTTTAAACATTGTTTTTTCAGTATTTCAGTTCTATCGAAAATGATATATTTATTCTGTCTCAAAATAAGAATCGTGCGAGAAAAATAAAGAAAAAGAACTCTATTATTAAATGAAGGATACTTACCACAAATCTTGTAAATTGCAGGAAAGCAAGAAAGATGATTCCAACAACTGCACTTTGCCATTGCCACTACACATAGAATAATTACAGTAACAATAATAATATAAGTAATTAATTAGTAAAAGTGTAAAAAAAAAAAGATTGAAAACGTGCATAGGAGCCCATTTCCAGAAATTACAGTGACCCTAAAAAAAGATGCTTTATAGTGGGACTTTTATGCAGTGCTTTCTTATTGCCACAGTAACTAGCTCCTTTCTTTTTGGTGGATCATTACTTCATTTAGATCAAATCAGAAATTTGCCTTATTCGTCTAATTCTTTCTCTGGCCTTTCTAATTAATTCCATTTCAGGGTCAAAAATGAACAAGAAGACACAAGGAAGTTTTGCCAACCTTTGCTCCTTTCAATGGTCAGATTTCCAAATTAGCGGCTGACCCAAATCAAAGGGGATCATAATTCCACCAATTAAAAGAGCAACATTTGGGGTGGGATTTCTAAAAGCTAGTAGCATTTTAGCAACTAACTAGCTACTTTTGTACATCACGTCTTACAGTGGTAGTAATCATCTTAATGAACTTGAGAAACATATTAACCAAAATAAACAAGAATTTGAGAAACTTCGAGAAAACCAATACAACTATTTTCTCGTCACGGATCAAGATACTTTCATTTCGTTCCAAGACAAAGTAATTACGGACCAGAGGGAGTAGTATTTTTTAAATAAAACATCACCCCCAAAAAAATTAAAAAAAAAAAAACAAACAAACATGCATTTTGGGCTTTGGTAAAAAAAAAAAACAATACCACTGTTGAGAAAGTACATATAGATCGAGCAAATTAATATTAAGCATGTGCTTTGGTAGTGTAGGATCCAGAATATTTACTTATCTTCTAATATACGGTGTTAACCATTTCAAATCAGCTTGTCACTTTCTTAGAAATGTCCAAGGAATCATTGAAAGAATTGTAAAGTTGGAGAAGAGAATTCTCCCATTCTTACTACAATAACTTATAGTAATGATATATATATATATATATATATATTCTTTTTTTGGGCTAATTTTTAGTCTTTATAAAAGAAGATATTAATGAAAATTAATCTAGCATGCATGATAGAAGATACATTATTCTATGTATCCAGATTACTGGAAATAGTAAGATATTAGAAAATTGAGCGAAGTTAAAAGGTTTTTACCTCTTTTCTATTGGCAAAAACTGAATGTAGAACAGAAATCATGTCAGTGTGGGTGGTGAAATGCTTCAATCCCAGCATTCCTTTCAACTGTTGCAAGCAAATCAACACAGCTGTCCCTCCCATAAATCCAAGTATAGTTGAATGGGATAGGAAGTCTATCAATATCCCAAGTCTGCCGAAACAACAATCGACAAACAACTTTAGTGAACTACTGTTTGTTTCGTCTCAAGGTAATAGCCATGTATATATCGAGTATATATTCAGATATAAAAAATATGATAAATTATACATGTCCGAACCTTAATGCGCCCATAGCTGTCTGGATTAACCCAGAAATGAGACAAGCCGTGAACACCAAGCTGACATACAATTCAATATTGTCAACTGGAGATACTTTCTCTTCTATTGATGCCGCAATGATCAAAGAAGAAGCCGCAACTGTTCCGACAGCAAGATGCTTTGAGCTTCCAAATATGCAGTAAATCAATGGCGGAACAAAGCTCGAATCTGTAATATCAAACGTGCAAACCAAAAAAAAAATAAAAAATAAAAAAATAATTTCATAAAATGTCAATAACAAACTTTGAAATTAATGTGTCTGTCTCATTACTGATTAAAAAAAAAAAACTTACATAGTCCGATAATTGGAGGAATATTGGCGAGCTTTGCGTAACTAATTCCTTGAGGAATAGCAAGGCTGGCAATAGTAATTCCGGCAAGGAGATCATACTTGAAGAGGTTGAGGTTGTACTTGGGCAACCATTCCACAACCGGAACAAAATACTGAACCACTTTCTTGGTTTTCCGAGGAAGCGAGGGTTCACTGCCGAGTTCGCTGAATGGATCATCGGGTAAAAATGTTTCTTTGAGCTTCGATTTGAGAACTGTCCCAAAACTTCTAGGTGGTCCGAAGTTCACCTCGTAAACTGGAGAAGAACTAGGATCGGATGCAGACGACATATTCTTCTTAGTATGATGACGACACTAAAATTGTTAGGTTCTGCGTACAAATTAAAGATGGAAGGAAGCAAAGATGGAAGTTAGGATAAAATTTGAAGGCAGTTGAGGATGGATGTTTGGAGTGCATGTATTTAAGGAAACAGCAATGGTGGGATATGATGCAAGTGATGACAAATCGAACGAATTAAGACAAAAAATAAAAATAAAATTGATTGCTATATACATTGACTCTCTTATTACACGTCAAAATTTACTGTAAATGCATACGAAAAATAGCATAACTGGCTTTATCTACTGTGTCACAAGGCTAGGCATGATACACTGTGTCACACGAGACTGGATGCTTAAACAGGAAAATAGCGTCGGCTAAGCAGGACATTTATCTGATTAATTAGGAACCAATACTTTTACAGATTAGTTTTCTCCCAAACCTTAGCAATAAGTTATTACAGACGAACAGGTTGACTCCTAGTTATCAAAAATTTAATACTTATCTTGTAGTACTACTACCAAACTAATGTGAATTTATTCTAACATTCAAATTGATTTACCTGTGAATTTATTTATATAACTGATTAACAAATATCAAACTATCAATTATTCTATTCATATTAGATAAAATGTAACACAAAAATGTCACAGAACTTACGTTATTAAATAGTAGTACTACAATAACCATGAACTAATACAATTATGCAAACTAGTTAAGTTAACTATTTATTCGTTCGAATCGGATAAGTTTTTTTCTTGAAAAAAAAAACTTAATAAGACTAACTTTTTTGTAGGTATAGGAAAGATTTTTTTCGGCATTGAGGAGAACGGAACCTAGACGTGCTGCCATCAATGACAGTAGAATATGCACCGATCTCAAATCTAAATGGAACACATAATCCGACAACTTTAGAAACCAACAAAGCAAATTTATATTTCTTCTGAATTTTGTGATCATTTTTTCCCCACGTTTCGCATTTTGTTGGAGAAAATTAATTTAAACGTAAGCCATGACCTTTAAAAAAAAAAAGGTAAGTTTCCAAAGCACCCTACCTCCCATTCCTGAACAAATAGCTAACTCTAGCTCGGCCAAGACAATAAGGTTTCTTCACTCGAAATTAATGTAAATATAATACCTTAACAACGTAACAGTTGCAAGTTGCAAAGAGTCCTATAATTGGCAAAGTGTTTACGTTGTACTATCTTTGTCATGCATGCATAATAACAGGAAGCGACAAATTCTAAGGAGAGTCGGTTACACATCAATTGTCGGTACGATTGGTAATACAAAGACAAAATATATAAACTGCAGTATTTTCATTGAAAATATATTATTTGTTCACTACATATATGTGAAGTTGTATTAAAATAAATTTGATTTATAGGATAATAATAACCAAGTTTTACCACATAGATGTTGACTATTTTAATCTTAACATATAGTCAATATACTTTCCCTGCCGACTAAAATGAACTTTCTATTCAGAACATTATCATCAAATGGAGTAATATATTGCGAGGAAGTAAACAAATTAGTAAACATCTTTCTTTTAGGTAGCTACTTCAAAATAATTATGACACGTGTAAGTATTCTTAGTTTAACAAATATTATTCTTAGTTAATTTGGAACGTTAATTAAGCTTCTTTTATGAAGTTCCTGAAACTTGGGCATCATTTTAGGACTGGACTATGCATAACCAATTAAATTAGTGGATAAGAATCAATTAACGATAAACACCCTACTGGTGTTAATGGCAAACAAAAATTAATCAAAACACGAAACAGAAATAAAAAACAAAGCACCCGTGAAATCAAACTTAAACCTCATCAAGAAATTAAACTCAAGCATCCACGTAGGTAACGCGTGTGTTAATCATCAATTAAGGTTCAATTTTCTTACCAAAAATTCGATGTTTCTGTCGATCGATGACCAGAATTGCTTCCTTTTTTTCGTCGTGCTTTTTACTCTTTTCTTCTTCGCAATCAAATCGCAGAAACGTTTTTCCTGAAGTCAGATTTATATGCGGAACTTCAACTGCGACAACAAAGTCTTCGTACCAGATCAAAATGACTTCAACGACCTGAATTTCAAGTCTAAGATATCATTACAAATCCGAAATTCAACATTTTCCACATGGAATTCACAAATTTGACCATGAAACTTAATTTAAATAATTTTAATTAAAAAAAAAATTGTTTGATCCAGTATTGTTGTGGATTGTACGTACCTTGCAAACGCCTGTGCAGAACTGGTAAATAGAAGAGAAAACAAAAAACGGGAATTTAAACAGAGAAATGCTATGAACAATTTTGTGCAAAGCCGGTGGGGAAAACTTGAGGAATATTGCTTTCTAATTTTCTTAGCTTCATAATATAAACATGGGACTTAATGGGTTAAACCCCCCCTTTTTTTAATACAAATAAGCCACGCCCAAAATATTTGCAAGGTATTTATATGTTTGGATTATGATAGTAGTGTAAGATTAAGAACGGGTAAAATTTATACTAGCCATTTACTCTGGATAAGAACAACAGATTATGGCAAATTTTAATCCACATCAGAGTAATAAATAAATAATAATTATAATCGGGAAGAAATCGTCGTTAATTTCGCCATTTTTACGGGAAAACAAGATGATGCGTTAGTTCCCAAAAATAGAATATGCTGACTACTAGTAGTGGTGGTAGTATGTTCTATAACTGGTCAGTTTTATTTGTCCACCATGGAAACGAATCACCATTTTACCAATGAATGAAAAATTTAAGTATTGGGTTTTTACTTTTTGGACTTCCTGTATATATTTTTTTCCCTCCTGGAAACTTGATACCTTTCTGTTACATGTATCTGGTTGATTGTACCATCTTACCTGTGACGAATTAAATTAAAGAATCTTCCATACATCTTAAATATTGGATATATTCAAATCAAAATTCTCTTCATTTATCTATTATATTGTTTCTTGATTGGCTTCAGGAAACTATACAGGTAGACAATCCATATTCATTGTTCGTGGAAATAAGTATCAGGTATGCATCTTTCTCTCATAAATGGGAGTTTTATCCTATATCAATCAACCGAACATCATTGAGGTTTCAACAAGTAAGTTTTGTTAAAGATTCGCAAAATCCCTATATATATACATATATAATCTTATCCTCCACATACATAACCAAGTTTGTGTAACGCTTTGATGTAAAAATATATTATATATATATATATATTTCTAAAATTCTAGTAAATATGACATTCACGCCAACTTTTGCGCATTCATGCTCATTTTTGTACTAGTTTTTATTTTTATTTTAACATTTAAGATGGCAAAGACCTAGAAAGTTTCATAAACCTGATGGTCACGGACGCAATGTCATGTTCTAATTCTAACCTCGGCAAAACGATCATTTCTTTTTCTTTTTTTTTTTTGGTTGTATATTCACTCCGTTTTAATAATAATAATAATAATTCACATTGAATTTTAAGATTTGAACTATCTCTGCCCAAAAAAAGTAGTTTATATTGATTTTTTAAATTTTGTACTAAAATTAGTATAGATCTCATAACTCTATGTCAACTATTTTTTTCGTGACAAAGAGAGTTTTTTTTTTTTTTTTGTACAATCTCAAAACTTATTGTGAATTATATATTTTTAGGCATCACTTTCTTAGAATCTTAAAAACTTTATAATTTTTTTATTAAAAATATATTGGTTGTATAAAGAATATAAATTATAATATTTTTTGTTGGTACAATGAATGAGATAATTACCTAAAATTCTCACATATTATAGTTCGTAAGAATCACCAATTATATCATGCTCTAACCACAGTTTTTTTTAAGACCTCAATATTGAATTCATTCATTCAAGTATATAATAATACAGTGTACCAATAGTATGAAAATCATATGAGTGCAATTTGAAAGCTTCATACAAATTAGGACATGGAACAAACAAAATAAACAGTATATATATATATATATATATATATATATATTATATTCAAATTCTTTATCTTATGTACGTCCGAGCTACATCTGTTAATTAAACTACTACTAGTGCAATCTTCTCTCAACCTTATCTCACTTCCAACCTCATCAAAAATCATGTTACAAAGTGTTGATATCGATCTCTTCGTCGTAATACATTCAATTGGTATACTTAAGTCAAAATCGAAACATATTTCGATCCATAATAATACGCTTCATATTCATTTCCACTTAAGTTGTATTGCACCAAACAAAGTGAAGGTTCTCTTTTTCGTTTTTTCAAAAAAAAATATTATTATTTCCCTCTTTATTCAACTTTCAAATATTTGTCATTAAACTAAACTCATGTTTTAAGAAAATAATTTCAGTACAACAGAATCATCTAATTAGAACATAATGACTACTTCTTAATTAATTAATACACAACAATAATATAGACAGTGATAATTTATATTAAAATGGGATAGTGACTTATGAAAAAACAAATACACCACATTATTAAACATGTGTACTTGTTGAATTATGGCTAAAAATATAACTTTTGGGAGGAAAAAAAATTCAATGAAATAGTGACAAAAAATAGGGCGTCATAATACTCCACATCAGTCGCTATTCTTTTCTTTATACATATCATTTTCAATTAATACGACCAAAAAAAAAAAACCCAACAAGCAGTGGCGGAGCTAGGGGGGGACAGAGGGGCGCGGTCGCACCTGCTCAATTTTTTGTACTCAGTGGGAATATTCTAAATTTTCAATAGAAACTATGTGTTGAATAATTTTTCGCACCCTCTACATTGATTCTCTAATATTATTAGTAGTTTTGTCAAAATTTCGCACCCTCAATATTGATTTTCTGGCTCCGCCACTGCAACAAGGTGGAACAAACTGTTCCTTTCCACAGCCATGCATTTTCCTGGAAGTGAATATATACCGTGAAGCCGTTTGCTTCCATTAATATGCTTTTTTATAAACAAAAAGGGTTTCTGCCTGAATTAGTTATGAATAAATTACTCAATTATTGAATTTGCAAATATCACCTCCCTCGGTTATATTTAGCCTTCGAGCTGTGACTTCCCACTTTCTTATCATTGTGATGCCAAACGTAAAACACATAAAGTGCAGTGAAAGCCTGAGTTCTTCCCCAGTTGAAGACGTGAGTATGTTTTTCTTCATTAAACAAACTCAATTAATTCACAAACTCTAGAATCTATAGATCCCTTTCTAAATTGTTCAACACCTTCTATCATTGCGATCCTGGCAACTATAAGTGGTTGTGGAACTTGCAACGCGGTAAAGGTAGGAATTATTTATCTATAAAAGCATAGAATTACTTGGTTATTATTGTTCTTGATTGTGGCTAAATTTTATTTGTTTTGTAGCTAGGTTGTTACGTATACTTTTTGGGGCATATGCCTTAATCGTGGTGGACATCTTAATGACCTCAATAATGATTAATGACTACTCGAGCTCTAAATTCTAATTGTAAAAAAAAAAAAAAAATAGTGGTGATTGGTGGAGATTCATACATCTTTAATCTAAGCCGGGTTGATGTTCGAAATTCGAATCTCCTTTTAAAGTTGAAGCAACATTAATTTTTTTTCATATTGTTTAATCCACTAAAATGTCTATTTTAGCTGTCGATGGCATACAAATGTCATTATTGGGATTTATCATTTATAAAAGAAGTTAAATACAAACCCGCCAAAAAACGACTCGTGGTCGTGGAGTTTTTATAGGGTTTTGTTATGTGGGGAAGGTTGGATCTCCTGAGTAAAGGGCATGAAGTTTTGTTAATGAGTGGAAGGTTGAACTAAATTGATGTTGAAAATCGTTAACGAAATTGCAGTTTCATATTTGCCATCTTCATATTATATTTTGAAGGCTTGGTTTCACGGTTAAATTCAATCCATCTAAGCAAATATTTACTAGTTTACAAGTGTATTACTATTAACATTTATATATATATACATATATATATATATCCCTTGGTCAGTTTGTCCATGAGATTATTTTTGTAGGGTACATGTATTTTTATAAATTAATAATAACAATGGCATCGGATACGTAATATAAAAAAAAATAACAACCGGATATTATTCTTTCATTTATAAAGTAATAACACTTCATTCTACAATAGAAAACAGGATACCGTACGTAGGACGGTAGGAGTGATATTTATCACGTATGGCGTCCTTGTGGAGTCGTTTATTAGGCGGAAGATGTAAGAAATGCTCTCATTATTATTTGCGTATGTTCTTACTTTATGAACAGCATGTTAATTTTGTTCCAATTCTAATCTGAATTACTTGGAAGACAGTAAAAACAGATGAGGAATTGAAATTGATCATTGAACTGAAATGGTGTCACGATTCAATGAAAGTCAAAACGACACTTTTTTCAAGTCCCAAATATATCAAATACGTCACCACTAAAATTGGATGAAAACATTCAAAAACAATCACAATCAATAAAAGCATAATTGTTGTGTAGTAGTAATATCAGTTTTATTGCACCAAAGTCCTACCAAATCCCAAATGCATCTCTGCAAATTAATGGAACTCCATGTGGCTTCCATTAGCATCCCTCTCCTCCGCACACACTGTTAGACTACCCAAACCACACCAAATTAATTAAGTACGTACTCAAATTCTATTGTCCCATGTGTGCTAAATCGAAATAATATTTTCTTTATTTCGAAAAGAATGCTTTGTTGTAAAGTTGTAATTTAATGAAATATAGAATTTTTTTCAAAGATAGCAAACTACATTTATGGTTGGAGTTAAGACCGATAAACCAAAGCTACAAAGTACTCCATCCGTTCTAAATTAAATGTCTGGAAAGATTTCAAAATAAGTATCGTTCTCATATTTTAATGTACTTTTTATTTGAAGTTTTCAAAATTACCCTCAAAAGAGTTAATACTATTGGAGGACATTTATTACCCTATTTAAAAATTCTTAAACTATGTATAAAGTTTAAAATAACACTTATTTTGGAATGGAGGGAGTAGTAATTAGTTTGGATCACAATTGCTGTTTGTTTGGGACATTTAGGTCCATTTCTATTTTGCCTTGCGAACTGCAGATCGCCTGTAAGTGACAATGGGCGTAGGGTTTGTTTGGGTTTTGGGTTTTAATTTGATTTTGCGGGACTAGGGGTTTTGAACACAGTGTAATATTTCTTCCGTCTTACAAAAATAGTCTACATTGAATTTTGAATTTTATAGTACAGTACAAAATTCAAAATTTAATATGGACTATTTTTTTGGGATTAAGGTAATACGATACTAACAAGAAACAACAACAATTTAAAAAAGTGAGAAATAATTTTAATCAATTTCTGATGACTGGAATGTTAGAATTTAAGCACTTAGAAGTTGAAACAAAGAAACAAAGGATACGAATCAATTTTATGAAATACACAATCCACACTCCACAGATGGATTATAAAGCATTTAAGAGTCCAAAAGAAAAATAAAATGCACGAACTTAAGAGGATGATACATACATATGCATGGATGAAAATGACACACATTGAATATTAATTTCAGAGTACTGATTAGCAATATAAGCCCGACTTAGCCGATACCACCACCGGATCCCCCACCTCCTCCGAATCCTCCGCCGGCACCTCCACTTCCACCGCCGAACCCGCCACCAATGCCACCACCACTGCCCCCTCCAAATCCTCCACCACCGCCGCCTCCAAATCCTCCACCTCCGCCAATTCCTTTACCAATACCGCCACCAAATCCTCCACCGGCACCCCCTCCAATGCCACCGCCAACACCCCCACCAGCACCACCACCAAAACCTCCCCCGGCTCCACCGCCAAAACCTCCACCAATTCCACCTCCGGCACCACCTCCCCCCCCTAAGCCTCCACCAACTCCACTTCCAATTCCACCACCTACGCCTCCACCAGCCCCACCGCCAATACCACCTCCGGCACCACCACCACCTCCTAAGCCTCCACCAGCCCCACCGCCAATACCACCTCCGGCACCGCCTCCACCTCCTATACCTCCACCAGCACCACCTCCACCTCCTAAGCCTCCACCACTTCCAATCCCACCACCTACACCTCCACCAGACCCACCGCCAATCCCGCCTCCAGCACCAGCCCCGCCACCAATCCCGCCACCACCTCCACCTCCTACGCCTCCACCCACCCCACCTCCGGCACCGCCGCCAGCACCACCACCGAGTCCACCTCCGGAACCACCTCCTAATCCACCACCACCACCAGCTCCACCTCCAACTCCGCCACCAGCTCCACCTCCGAAACCACCACCGGCACCACCTCCAATACCTCCTCCTTTTCCATTGCCGCCACCAGCACCACCTCCTTTTCCTTTCCCAATGCCACCGCCAGAACCACCTCCTATACCTCCACCAAGTCCGCCACCTTTACCACCGCCGCCGCCAATGCCACCACCACCACCAAGGCCACCGCCGATGCCTTTGTGGTGATGATGCTTTTTCTGCTTCTTGCGGGGAATACCTTTACCAACGCAATCAGGTTTTGCAAAAGGAGAATGCTTGTTATTATGGTGGCGATCATCATCGTTACCACCACCATAATGAAAGCTGTATCCAACCCCATTACCAGAACTAAATGCACCACCATTCCCATTATTATCTCCCCTCTTCCATTTCCAAACACCATTTTCATCCTCATCAGCATTACTCACCACCATTAATCCCTCATCATCATTTTTCTTCAACTCTCCATGATCAGTAGCACCCACCCCTAGTAACATCAACACTAAAACAACCACACCAGGAAGCCAGAAAAACCCCTTCCCAACCATTTTGAGTTACTTCTCTTCTAGCTCCTTGAAAAACAATATGCACAACACTCAAACGTAGCATTGGAATTTATATAGATGGAAAATCATAAAAGGGTTAGTTGAGGAGATTAATTAACTACGGGCTGTTTGCCCGGTCTTCAAAGAAGATAAAGCATCGAATACAGCTCGATTACCCATGCAAATGCGTGACGGGTTTCCTAGGCCTGATGATCAGCTCTTTCTTATGTACGACTAAGGAATATTGATCCCTTGAATTTCCTTCCTATACCACTTTTTACGTAGCTCCGTGATGAATTTGCATGGGAATAGTAAAACCCACATTTATGTTGCCCCCATACTTCTCTCACAAGTTCAACGCTCAACAAGTTCCTTCCTTCCTTTCCCTCATTCTTCTAACCATAACCCATTATGACTAACATTGCCCTTGGATTTATCTTGGGATCAACAACATTACTAAATTCTGCTTAACTAGTCTTCAACTTCTATCTTCAACTTTGACTTGGGAGTATGATCATCGGAGTTTTAGTCAAACCCTGATTTAATTATCTCGAAACCAACGTTCCCGATTTAATATTCAGAAGAAGTAGTAGGGTGTCTACTCAACAGAAGAAGTTAGATAGGGAGGAATTAGTTGAAAGGGATTTACGTGAAGGAGACAACTTGAGAGGAATATTAATAGCATTTGGGTTTCTTTTCATCATCACCGAAGTACAAAATGGTGGAAATTATTAATGTATCCATTTTCACGGGCTACACGCATGCATTGCCTTTCCCCCTTGGTTAGATGGACTTTGATTTAATACATTATCGCGCGGCATTATTCATTGTTTTACTACTACTATTATGTATGTCTCGCCCTCAGATTCGTATTGGCGTTGGGCACTTAAAGGCATCCCAAAACTCTTCCAGCTTGCATTCATCATCTTTTTTTTCCCTAAACATAAACATCATGGTGACTCTAAATTCATCATCAATAGTTCTGACGTGCCATATTACGTGTTACATAATACTATTGCCGTTCCAAAATTCAATGTAAACTATTTTTTTGGGATGGAAGAAGTATATTGAATGATCTATCATCGACAATCAAATATGATGTTGTCTCATTACGCATCCACAGAATATGTTTTCATTTTTTATATTTATTAAATTTTGACTGTTATGGAATTTTGACCGTTGCCACAACAACTTTATCAGGAAAAAAAAGGTAAACGTCAAAATTCTGTAAACAAGAAGAGAAACTCAAAAGTATATAAAGGAATGGAGCAGACTTTAACCATTAGGTTAATAATTCATACCGAGCAAGATGCATACACGAGTAAAATCTGTTCTTAATTTTTTTAAAAAAATAATTTCTTTGAAAGAGTATTATCCTTTCCCTATTAAGTTCTATCTCAGGATCATTTGGATTGTGGGATATATTTTCAAATTCTAGACAAAAGGGGGTTGATTTTTAAATTGTCTATAGAAACCCATGGGTATCCACCTCAAAATCAATTCGCAATGAGGGGAGTAGCTCATGGTGTTTATATACTGATACAAAGTGTCTCCATATACCAATGTGAGATAAATACTTCAACACTCCCCTCAAGCCCAACGGGCTTGGACTAAATCACCATAATCATGAAATAAACCGTGGAATAACATCACGGGTTGCGAAATAACGTCGCGGACCTTAATTGGGCCACGGAATAATATCGTGGACTTTAAAATCACCACAGACCAAGTCCGCTCTGATACCATATAGAAGCCCATGGGGTTCCACCTCAAAACCAATTGACAATGAGATGAGTAGCTCATGGTACTTATATACTGATACAAAATGTCTCCAGACACCAATGTGGGATAAATACTTCAACGTTGTCCTCATTTAGGTGATTTTCGCATTGTCGAATCCGAAATACATTATTTTGGATTTCCAACATCCGAACTCATTTTTAACTATAAAAAAAAAAAAAACTATTTTCCAGCTCAATAAAATATTATTTTGCTTAGGCAGATGACTTTTTTTTATTTCTCATTAAAGCACATAATGATATAGTTCAAATAAAAATAAACCCATTAATTTATTTTAGGAAAAAATGAGATTTAAAAATTAAATCTTTTTTTTTTGTAACGCCGGGAACCCCACCAAAACCCACGCCTACTGCAATAGCATGCAAACCACAGTGGGGGGTATATCACCCTAGGCAATCCCAGGGTGACAAGCTCGGGTGCGAAATCGGAGATTTTTTAATGGGTTAGCCATAACAAGCCCCTAGAGGTGTCAATAGGCAAGTAAGAGTCAACCCCTTACTTTTTGTTGGAGTGGGTGATTGAACTCATGACCTTTTCTTAGAGCAAGGGTGATTTTACCACTGAACCAACTCTTCATTCGCAAATTTAATTTTCAACTTTACATGTATGGCTCGAGGGTTGTGTAAGCTCCAAAGAGAAATTTAAAATTCTGATAGACCTTAAAAGTTTCATCAGGAAAAAAAGACATTAAATACTTGGATAAAATATATCAAGATAACTTTCAACGAAGTATCGAATTCAAAAGGTACCGAAATTGAAGTAAATATGTTTTTAAACAAAAAAACATAATATACAAAGGCTTAATGGTTCACATTCAAATGGCATCCTGTTCTACACTTATTAAAAGTTTTCTTTCTTTTTCCCGACACAATTGTGTACACACTTAACAGCCCATACACGTTCTTTCGTCTCTTTTTTATAGCAGTTCACTCTTTTTCTCAATGATCACTTAGTAATGGCAGATTTTACCTCTTCCTTGCTACGGAAATATGTCCCAACACCAATTTCATCCAATTTCCCATCCCACAAGACTGGAGCGTAGGATCACGACCCACTAATTGGGATCAAGGTCACCGTATCACTAAACTTAAACTGCCTTGTTTCTTCAGTTACTGGAGTATCACTTGTATCCGTGTCACGTGCATTTGAATCACTTACATTCGAAGGGTCAGGTTCTTTATCACTCTCAAAATGATCAGCACGGTCTTCAAAACCTTCACTTTCGCCTTCATTGTGTTTCCAACTACTTGGTCCAAGTTCTATATGGTGCTCGGATGTACTACCATGATGTAATACATGAAAATTTACTACTTTGATGAATGATTTCAGATAATACACTAAATAATAATAAACCATCCGTATCGAGTTGTCATCCTGAACCAACAAATGGCCCCCTTCTAATGTTCTGTTCATTGTGCATCATTAAAATATTCAAATTCACCTGATATCTATCTAACTTTGCAATTGCACATATTTCTTGAACCAAATATGAGAATAACAAAATTTTATCTACCCAATTATCCTGAACGGGATATTACTAGCAGAAACATCGTCGAATTGCCATTTTCAAAATAAATTCAACAGAAATGATTGGAAAGAAGCCATTTTCTACTAAAATCATATATTGAAAATTTCAAATTAGCTAAGAAATAACGCAATATAACAATTATAAATAAAAAACAACTTAAAAGTGGTCAAACAACTTACAAGAATGGTAGTGTAACACATTTGGGACAAAGATTGCAATCATGGAGAGAGATGTTGCCAATTTTCGTTTGTTTTGGTTTAGAACTGAATGAAACGAACGATTTCATAATTTATTCTGGACAAGTATGTTTCGGATTTGACAAATCCGAAACACTGCAAATCAAATTCTACTTGTCGAAAGCATAGCGGTTAAGATTGGATAGGGTTATTTCAGATACATAACATCCGAAATAATGTTTCGGCTTTGATATACCCGATACACTATTAATTTTCGCATTTTCTTGAATTTTGAAAAATTTATATTTACTCTAAATGTATTTCAGAAACCAAAATTCAAAATTTAAATGACTGTTAGCATGTCAGATTCCTGAAATGTGAAAATCACCTCTGTTGCCTACATTTTGAAAATCCATTCCCTTTTTGTTTACAGTTTAGAAATGTATCACCTCAACGGCTCAACCCAAAAGACCCTTCTATCCCATTATAATAAATTATAGGAGCAATTATAGAGATAGTGACTAATTATAGTGAAAAAGTATAGTGACTAATGAAAAGACAAATACATCATCCCACTTAATATGTGTACTTATTAATTAAGGTAAAAAATATAATTTTTAGGAAAAAAATAAAATTTTAACGGAAAAGTGGCAAAAAATTAGGGGTCAAGAATACTCCACATCACTCACTATCTTTTTTCACTATTTTTTTCACTAGATATATATTTTCCAAATTATAGATAACTTTAAAACATCAATAGGTTATAGATGCGATCTTAAAAAAATAAAGGTACTTATATCGAAAGGAAAGCTGGTGCCCGTGTCGAGATTCATATGTTATCTTGGACCGTGAAACCCACCGAAAAGACCAATATTGCATTTCCTCTGCCACACCATTATTTGGGTCTCAATGCAGGCCCAACTACTGCATCGCCCACGATCTATGATAAATTTATTTAGGAAAAATTTTGAAGTTTTGACCATTTAATTTTTGTGAAAGAGTTCATATACATACTGTACATTTTTGCTCCTCAAATCAGCACGCCTTGAGAGTTGTTTTTTTTAAAAATAAAATAAAATAAAAAAATAAGTTTTGAAAGATTGGGAACTCTATATATTGGGTACATAAGTTTTGTGCCGTACCAAATGTGGAGAAACCAATACGTCAGTTTCAATAAGTTTTCATCATCTTGTGTAAAATTAAATTACTCATTTCGACCATACATCTTGATAATAAACATAAAAACAATATATATAAAATACAATTATTTTTACAAATAAAAAATTGAATGCTCTCAACAAAAATCAAACTTTCAATTTTATGTTTTCTCTGTCCCAAAATTATTGTCCAGTTTACATTTTCATTTTCAGTACAAATTGAACTATAAATTAAAATCCAAACTGAACAATAATTACGGAACGGATGGAGTAACAAAACAAAAACAATCTCCATCCTAACTTACAACCATCCAACCTTCCTAAAATGCAATAAACAACCTCTTTTTCAATGTAGTGACATCCTAGAGTATTTGTTTTTTTAAAAAAAATTTCTTTACTATTTGCATGAGCAACTATTTTCTTAGTTACTCAATTAAAATATATGTAAGAAAAAAAAATCAAAACACGACTGAAATGTGGAATGTTGCATATTCTTATGACGAATTACATTGTTACAACCTTATAAGATTATGTATTAGAATTAATAAAAAATTATAATAAAAAAATGGTTAGAAGTTATGAAAAAGAATTAGGAATCGGATTACAACGGGACGAACCCCGGGCGAAAGGAAATGAAGAATCGAAATTGGGGGAACAAAATCATGTCCAAATTCCAATGGCGTAGTCAGCCTCCAGGCCAGCAGTAATCTATCTCATTCTCACCTTTCGTCAGCTATATCACGTTTTCCCTAATCTTCTTTCTTTCTTGCACATATATTCTACACTTTCAATAAATCCCAGAATTTCTTTTATTTTTCCACATTCATCTGAAAAACCCTTCAAAATAAACCCAGAAATTCTCGCTTTCATGTGCTGTAAGCTTCTGGGCTATTAGGTTTTGCTGCGAGGACTCATCTTTTTTGTTCATCGTCGATTGTAATTTTTTTAGGCCATGGATGATTCTGACGATGAACGCAGGTTTTCGTATCGTTCAAAGCCAGCAATCCGAAACCCTCATCCTTATTCCATCAGTGGTGGTCACTACACAAACAGTGTAGGGTATGCCCGGCAAGATGATTTTGATGAGGAAGAAGAAAACCCACAATTCAATAATTCTCCAAACGAATTTTATTATCAATCCTATTACGAGGAGGAAGCCCAGAGGAACAAGAAGAAGCGGAAGATGGAACCTTTGAGTTCGAATTTCGAGCTCGTCCATCGCTCTGCGCTTAATCCCAATCTTGGTGGGAGTTCAACGGGTTCTTGGAATGAAGAGGGTAGTTTTGTTTTGTTAGAAGTGTGGGGGGAAAGGTACTTGGAGTTGGGGAGGAGGAGTTTGAGGGGTGAGGATTGGGTTGAGGTGGCTGAGAAAGTTTCTGAGATGACTGGCGTGGAGAGGACTGAGTTGGAGTGCAGGAATCAATTGGATGTGTTGAAGAAGAAATACAAGAAAGAGCGAGCCAAAATGGAGAGAGTTGGAGGAGGGTTTGTTAGCAATTGGGTGTTTTTCAAGAAGATGGACGTGCTTTTGAATTTGAGGATGAGAGGGCATTGTGGGTTAGGCTGTGGGGTTGATTCAGGAGAATATGTGTTCATGAATCCCCGGATTTATTTGGACAAGTCCAATGTGTTAGATGAGATGAGGGACAGTCCAGGAGTGTCAGATGAGGAAGGCGATGTGGAAGATGAGGAGTTAGAAAGAGGGGAGGAGGTACTTGATGGGAAATCAGCTAAATTGTTGGCTGATTCCATTCAAAGATTTGGTGAGATTTATGAGAAAATAGAGAGTAGTAAGAGGAGACAAATGATGGAGTTGGAAAAGTTGAGGAAGGATTTCCAGAAGGAAATGGAATTGCAAAAGAAGGAGATTGTTGAGAGGGCACAGGCTGAGATTGCTAAACTAAGGGAAGAAGGAGAGGAAGAGGAGGAGGACGACGATGAGGAGGAAGACGAGGACGAGGACGACAGCGAGGATGATGATAACAATGCTGATGAGGAGGACGGTCCCAAAGAAGATATCCGTGGGTGATGCTGGTAAAGTTAAAAGCTTTTTAAACACATTTTTCGTAGTGTGAGAAATCTGGAGCCTCATTGGAGGAAATGTCTTGATTGTTTTGGCTAAGGTGCTTTTGCAGTGTAGAACTTATTTGTCAGCAGGCTTGAAGGAAGGCTAATTTGGGAGTTTGAGAGGTGTGACATTGCGAATGACTTATCAATATCAATGTGTGTTTTGAAAAATTATGTGTTTACAAGCTTTGTGACAAGTGTGGTTCTGTTTCAATTCTTTGCTGTGAGGCTGACACTAGTTTAGTCGTTCTGCAAATATTTTATGCTCTTTACCTTTTTGAAATTAATGTTATATACCAGTAGGTTTCTTGCTTAAACATTCTTTGAGTCTATTCTAGATTTTAACTTGTTTTGCTGAGATAGGTACTCTATCTGTTTCTGCAAATTTTGCTGAAGAGTTAGGTTTTTTATAGAAGATTTAGTTGAGACTCATTGCAACTGGTGAAAAGTAGGAATTGCCATTTGTGCATATTCATGAGAAAGGCAAAATGAAAGTATTTTGTCATGGGCCTGCTATGTTGTGTCTTAGGTTCAGAGAAAGTGTTTTGGAAGATTAGTAATAGCCATTTGTGCATGCTTTTGATTGAGGAAAGAATAGGGAAAATGCTATGTCTTTAATCTTTCATGTTATCTCTGTACAAAGTGTGAAGATAGAGGAAGTAAGTACGACATACAGCAATTTACCCCCCTACTTAAAGCTTAAATGCCTGAGATTGTGAAAGCTCTTTTACCTGATGCACAAGAAGCATAATTAGGCAAGACCAGAAACAGTTATCGGGATTATTTTTATTTTCTGCTTTCTTTGACTATTCTCTGTTTATTTTCTTGTCAGTTTAATATTCTCGAACCAATGTCTGGATACTTGTTGGGGTGTGCTTGAGGCATTGTTGATGAGCACCCTTCCTAATTTGGGTCGACACTATTGCAGTTTTTTTTTTATAAAGTGTGTAGATTATAGGCAATTTGGTCTAAGTTTTTCCTCCTCTATGAACCTAAATGATGTTTATATGTATGTAGAAACTTCTTTAGTAAAGGACATACATTTATCTCTGGTTGCCCTGTTTTTGCAGTAAAGGAGATCGAATGATGTTAACTGAAAAATCACCTCTGGAGAATTGCCCTTCATCCAGACTTTTGAGGCAACGGAACACGCGAGGAAGATTGCCTGCTGGGTGTTTGGGAAAAGTTTTGGTTGCCTTCGAGTATCTAAAGATTAGTTAGCTGTTTTTTTCATTTCTCTTTTCCCGAGTACTTTTAGTTTGCTTGTTTTCTGAGGGTGACAAAGTCTGTATTTACTGTTAGGCTGGGTACGAAAATTTGATAGTTGAGGTTTAGATAGTTCTATTTGTTTTCTTCCCGAATCTTGATATCTATCGAAGTTGTGCGTGCTATTCCTCGCATTAATTTCTTGTCCAACTCTTGACCTGTTTTGTATAATTTGGTATGAAAGGATTAGTGCCTCAGAGTCTTATCAACCGTGTTTTTTTCCAGCTTAGAAAAAATGTTGGCTGATTAAGGAAGGCTAATAGCCAATTTGCATTCATGCGATTGTTAGTTGGTAGTTTGGAGTATTTTTTTAGGAAGTGTCTTTTTTCTCATCATAAAAATAGTTTTTGCTTGGCCTTAGCCCTTCTCCTGAATCTACTTTACACAAATGCAATATATAAGCTGACCTTACATTACCCTTCACTAACTATTGAACATCTGAAAAAAATGGTTAGTTGCAGAGTGAGATTCCGCACTAGACCTACCAGATCATCTTACACACAACCAAAGAACTGAAATTATTTTTCTTCATGCATCTTTTCTTCCTCTGTTGCATCTTATGGTGCATCGGGAAATAGTTCATCCTTGAGAGTGGGAGCAATCCATTGAATCTGGACGTAAGTTATTTCCCACAGATCATCACCTTCTCTTGGAACCAACAAATCATGCTCCTTCATTGCCGAGATAATTTTCTTCAGTAAGGTGGGTATTACATCTTCCATGGTTGATTTGCCATATTCTCCCAAATCAGCCTTCATGCAGGTATCCATTCTTCTCAAGAGACCCATCCAAAATGGTCTGAAATGAGGACTTTCTGATATTGGCTTCAACAACTGGCAATAAACATCTGTTAAGACCTCCATGGCCAGCTTCAAACTCGATTCCATGCTTCGCGTTTCCCTCTCAGCATTCTCTCTCCTTGAGTATTCCAGCATTTTCTCATGTATATCATCCGCCATTGCAAAGATCAAACAGTTAAAACAGTAAACACAATTGGCTGGTGTGAAACATAGTTCCTCGGCTAGCATGAAGCTTCTCTGAAGAGACAAGACCGCATGGTTTCTTACCTCCTCTCTCCTGGCTAGGCATGTCTTTCTCAGAGCTTCACCGAGCTTGACAAATAAGTTCATGACGAAGCTGGCTGAGCTAGATGATTTTGCATTGTCGTCCAAGGAGGTACTGCTAGAATTACTTCCCACGCTTGCATTGCTACCCGGATCAGAGTATCCACTTCCATACCACTGAACCAACAATTTTACCGAGTGTGACATCAGGTCCATTATCTTTACATTCATCTCCACTGGGCTGTTCCTCAGTGCAACGAAACCAAATGCACACTCGATGCAGAATGCATAATTTGTACGTGAAATGTGAGTCCCTGCAGACATTAAATTGATTAGGGATTCGACGCTTTGCTCATATGTTTCAGGATGACGCCCAGAGGTTGACAACAGATGTAGGACTGTCTTCCATCCTATGCTACTTTGCAAATTTGCAGGGTATTCCGTAAGAATCTTGGTGATTGACTGTATAAGGTACTCGGAACAGGTGTCGAGTATTTCTTTTTCCAGCTTCCACATGAAATTCATTGATTTAAAGATGAGTTCCTCCGGGAGTTTATCATCGCGATGCTCAGAAAGGACCCTGAGGCAGATTTTCATCTGAGCTACAATAGCCTTTTCGGCAAATGGGATAGGAGAAAACACAGGAAATTGTGCAACTCCTAGCAAATAGTCATGGTAATGAGGCCAAAAGGTAGAGAATCTGTGCATGTTGACTATAGCAATGATGACTATCAAATCCCAACAGAATTCTACAGTTTCCTCCTCCTCCACAGGAGTGCTGAACTTTTTTCCAGCCGCGGCATATATAAGAGCACGTCCGAGATTAAGTAATGCCTCATCTGGTAAACTTGAACTGGTGGTAAAGATGTTCTCTATATGGCATTGCTGGATAATTTTCTGATTCTGTTCAAATTCACTGACACCAAGATTTAGAGACTCTTCCACGCTCTCTAATGATAGGAAGTGTGAGAATCTGCCGATTAAGCCAGAGGTACCGCGTGCATGGCCGTATCTAGTAGGATTCACAGAAGAAGCACCCGACTCTGTAGACAAATCTGGATTGGCATCAAGTTCAACAAGAGGCTGTGGAAGTAACTTGAGCCTTCTCAGTTTCAACAAGCAGTCAACAATGGTTCTCCAACTTCCTCCAATGGAATTTTTGAAAGTGTTTGCAATGGTAAAAACTGCCAGAGTGGCCATCCTGGGCTTCATATCATTGCTGAAAGCATACAAAGTTTCTTCCGCAGATGCGTAGGGATTTAACAAGGTGGTGAACTTGCAAAAGGAAGAAATGAGCTCATCAAGAGTGTCTTCTAAGTTATATTGAGCTATTCTAGCTATTGAGAATAACACTTCAACACACTCATGGAGAATCTCGTCTTCTTCAGTTTGTTCAAAGATTGCAGCGAGAGTAGCAACTGCAGGTCCAGCTACAGCAGCAAACATATCTCTTCCCAGTCGACGATCAAAATCGCACAATACAAATGGACTTATGCGCTTAGCACGGTTAACTAGCTGAATCCATCTGTTGGGATTCATTTCCACAGATCCACCAGATTGACCAAACACTGTGATTGCATGGGAAGATATAGACTGGAACAGGTCAGATAGATATTCTCTGGGAAGATCATTTCCTCCATTGATCTGCCGATTATTCCTAATGAATTCCTCTTCAGTCATCTTTTTCTTGACTTGTGGATTGTGTTGATCAGTGTTGAGCATGATGACTGAATAGCAAAGAACAAACACGGCATCCTTGCTCACAAAGACTTCTGAGGATTGCTGATCATAAAACCTATCTGAAAATGCTTCCAATATCCTGTGAATTTTCTGAGATTCTCCAGGTAACCTGAAAGTTTCCAAGAAGATTCGTAAAGCTGAGTCCAATATCATACCAGTAAACTCAAAGGTTTCTGTGAACTCTTTAAGAACTTGAATGTGAAATTCATCCGGATCGCCGAGATATTCTCCAATCATGGTCTTGTCGAGTCCAGGAGTGCAGTGGAAATACAAAGCGTAGGCTTTTGGATCAGGAGGATCAGGAATTAACTTGGAAATTTTCAAGTACTCCAATCCCTTTTTGTCGTCTTGATTGAAATGATTTGCAGAGATTAATATCTTTTTCTTCTGTGCTTTCCTCAGCCTGACAGAATCTACCCATGCCTCTTTACCGTCATCTATGGACACCTCTTCCCAGAAAGGCTTATACTCAGAAATCTCAACTGGATATGGTCCAGAAGGGCTATCGTCATCTTCTTTATCAACACGATCAGCGATATTGTGAATGATAACTATGAGACCTTCAAATGCTAAGACTTGCAAACTTGTCAACGGGCCACCAGTAGGGAATGCATGCTTGCAGAGCAACTTGCCTATCTCCTCAAATATATTCCCAGAACAAGGATCACAATCATAATTCACATACACTTCAATTGTGAAGTTAGGTTGGCGGCAGAAATTCACAATTGCTTCAGTTGCAATTTCTTGGAGTTGGGATGAGTTCCAGCGATTTGAAGCTCTGAACAAAACATACGAGAAGAAGCCTTCCAACTGGAGGCGAACCGACCTGCAACAGGCCAGGCATTCCATTCAGGTAAATTGCTGATTGACATTGACAACACGCCAAAAAATAAAAAGAAGAGTGCTCATGTAATTAAACGGTGCTAACCTGCGAAGGAACTGATAGATGTTCAAAACAGTACTGCAGATCATGGACAAAACTAAGGGACTAGAATATGCTCCATAATGAACCAAATGGTGGAACAAGTCATCTTGGACCATCCTCAAAAGCTTTCGATGCTTCCCTATGCTATCGCCACTCAATTCAATGGCAGAGTTGATCAAAAGCAGGGAAAAAAGCTGAACATCTGCATCCGCTGACTGATTATGTAGGGCCTCAGGCTCGTGAGCTTCCACCACATTCAGTAAAGAACACAAAAAATGGAAGATATCTACAGCTGCACGGAGCCCAAAACCAGAATCCAAACTACCATCCTCAGTGTCTGATTCAGATTCTTCCTGATCATTTGCTTCGACGTCAGGTAACCTATAAAAAATTATCTGAATCAGTTCCTGCATTGTGTACCTCGCGCTACGCTGAAGCAAGTTTCCCCGATAGGCGGATTGCTGTATGACCTGAAAACAGGTGTTGACGACAGTACAAACAGAGTGATCAGAAAGCAGAACAGAAGCTGAATGTCTCATAATCGCGGTTAGAACATGCAAAATTCGCATCATGATGGCCTCTTCAGAAAGGGGATCAGTTTTCTCGACGCGACAACCTTGGATCGCAGTCACAGCAGCGTTCATGATGTCTTTACTCCCGGGAGTGTTCTTATCGAATATTTCGAGCCTCAGAATCTTGATAAGGGACGAAAGGGCCACCCCGGTTGCTACTATAGGGACATCATCACTTTGTATCACATCGAGAAAAGGAGACAAGTAGACAGAAGGATCGATCTTCCCCCATTCTTGATCAGGATTGAAGATAAGCGATCTTAATGATTTCAATGATTGAAGAATTGATGAATCATAATTGTCGTCAGAAAGGTGGTAGAATTGAGAATCTGGTACTCGTCGAATCACAGCTAGAATAGCACCAACCTCAGAATTCAACATGCATGAGAACCCTAGTTCTTTTCTTTTGATTTTTGTCATCTTTGGCTCAGTGTTTTCTTCTTCTTGCTCATTGTCCATCACTAATCATCATCATTCTGCACCTTCATACGTTAAGTTTGAGAACCCGTGTGGAGTAATTGGTCGCTGTGATTTTCGGGATCTTTTCACTTCTTTGACCACATTTTACATAATTTTCAGGATTAATTGTTAAGATAATTTCCTCATACAAAAGATCAGAGGGCTTCGATTTTCATGCTGTTTGCTAAAGAAAGATAATTGCATTAGGAAGATATGCGGAATATTTGCTGAAGAAATGGCTACGATTTCCTAACTCACTTATTTTTAGTTATTAATTGTGTGGTTAAAATGGCATGTTTGAAAACTTCTAAAGCCATAGCAATTACCAAGTTCGAAAATCTTCAGTTTTACTTTATGTTCTACTATCCCGCGGTAATAATGCCCATATATATCTAGATTACGAGGGATTTAATCCAAGTGACCTTGACAAATGTTTCTCAAGCTATAATTTACAAGATCTGTACCCAAAATGAAATACCCAAAAAATAACTTCAGCCAATATGTTATATATGTTCAGCAGTTCCTAACCTCTTGGAGTTCTTAAGCTCAAGCCACAAGCAATATAATGTATCGAATGTATCCTCAACATCAGTCTCCTCGGCTTTTGCAATTGCCAGAAGGGACCTGAACCATTGTTCATGCAAGGTTGAGAAGTTTGCCCTTTGCTCACTTGACTGGAAACTATCTCTGATTAACTTCTTCATGACCTGGCCAGCCTGTGAAGCACCTAGGACAACCACTTCAGGGATACCGGCCATTCTGGCTACTTGCATGCCGTAGCTCTCAGGGCACGGGCCAGAGGCAAGCCGATATAAGAATACCAGTTCCTGCTCACCAAGGCAGGAGCTCTCCGACAGCTTCTTGAAAGCACAAGCCATATGTTTCAATATGACACGAGGATGAGAACCAAACTCCTTTGTGAGAGGATGGTAATGTGTAGCAAATAACAAACGGCAGTTAACTGTCTCAACAAGATGACGAAGTACCTGGAGAACGTTAACAGTTTATATAAGCAACAATCTGTAAGACGGTAAATGATTCAAGCGACACTATAAAATAAAAAACAAGTTCAAAGGCAGTTAAAAGCTACCAACCAATGAGAGTGTTGCGATGTTATCAATTTATAACTCCATGTAACAAGCCAAAACAAACACTCGCAATAAATTTGACTACATCTCTTCTTGACAATAGTTACTATGGCAAACATTGAAGGAGGGACATAATAAAGCCAAGATTAGCAGCTAAACAAGAAAACAAAAAAGAAAATTGGAAACAGAAGCTTACTGCATATGCAATAGCATAACCATCAAAAGTGCTAGTCCCTCGACCCAATTCATCAAGAAGCACAAGAGAATCTTGTGTCGCATTCTGTAATACTGCTGCAGTCTCCGTGCATTCAATATAAAATGTACCTACAAAAATCGGATTTTAGAAGTAAACACCAGCCCTTTAAGTCAGTATTACAGCAATATCCAAGTGTATTTATACTTCGATGGTTCAACAAAGGTTCCCTGATAACTTTCCACCAAGATCAGTATCTAGTCTAGTATTTCTAAGGTAGGCAGAGTATAAATTATTTTATTTCGTTGAAATCCAACATGCTATTGTACCACTCTTTATAGATTCAATAGAAACCAGTTTGAAACTCAAAAAGTGTCAAGAGTCTACAGAGTATTTGATACTGAAACCTCTTAAGTATTCTTAAAATTTCAACTGCCTACTGCAACAAGAGAAAGGAGGATCACCAGGCCATTTGATTGAGAAGGAAAACTTCAGAGCCACCATACCTTTTTGTCATCACACATAAGCATACTAGTTTCTAGATTTCACAAGTCCAAGAGGACCTTGTGTCACTTTGACAAAAAGGCACTAAACTTTTGTTCTTAGATTTTGTTTTTCTGTGATTATATTTCTTTCCTTTATAAAGTCATATTGTTTACAGCAATGAAGCATATTATATCATGTTGCAGAATCGCTTGCAGAACTTACTCTCTCCAGTCATAATCCGATCAGTAGCTCCAAGCCGAGTAAAGACAATGTCCACAAGCGAAAGAACACAGGTTTCACAAGGAACATAACAACCAAGCTGCAGGAAAGGAACCCTATTAAAAACAAACCAGCAAGTACTGAATGTCAAGAAGTATGTGCGGAAATTGAATGGCAAAATGTAACCTGAGCAAGTATAACAGCCAGACAAGTGGCACGTAGAAGTGTTGACTTTCCACCCATGTTTGGTCCAGTCAATAGCAAGGTACAGGGATTGTAAATATCTTCATTCACCCCAAGATGTAAATCGTTTGGAACAGGCAATCCCCCACTAGCCCCCAGGGCATACGGATGCCATAATCCTTTCATTGAAAGTATCGGACCTCCAGTCTCTGCATTCGTATTTGAATGAGGGAAAATCTTCGGTCTACACATAGCTCCACAAGAAAAGCTGGAGCTCACAGCAAAAGATCTAAGTATATCCAAGCAGCTTAGGGCATGGATTACTTGAGACCATTGGATTGACTTCTCTACAAATAATTCCACTAGAATTGACAAAGTTTCTGCACTTGAATCTGTTGCAACATGATCCTGCCACCATGAAAAATATGGAAGATAAGAGCACTGCAATTTGCTAAATATTTGAGTCAGGTACATACTCCCACTGGACCCAACAAACATGGGAAGGAAAGAATCAATACAAAGCTAGAGTAAAACTTGGAGCGCTAGGGATGTAATTAACAATGTCTAAGGCTACTCCCTCTCTATTTCATTCAATTGACTATATATGAATATACATATTTGAAAATTTCTGCTAGAAGGAGCAAAACCTGATAATTGGGAAAGTCACTATCTATTGCTGCTTCAAATTGGGTTAGAAATTTATCAAGCCCGTTGGCCCCAATCAGTTGTGGAAGGCAAAGAACTTTTGATAGCGAAGTGGTTATATGCCCTTCATTCTGTAATGACATTAGCAAATCCATTCCTGCACGTAGACCTTTGACAAGCAAACCAAACGCTTTAACCTGCCACAAAAGCACATTTTTGTCAGCAGTCCACTCTAATAAAATCAATTAGTAATACTACTGTATGCATAATTTACGAAGGCATTATTTATTAAACCTGTGCTTATCACACTTCCAAGGTCTAAAGGCCAATGGTTTAAGATACTGTCTCCATTACAAACACCCCAAACAAGCATCTTATATACAGATCACAGTAGGAGGGCAGGAAGCAAAGAGGTAAACACCGACTACCTAATCTCCACAAGGATGTCATCATAGGCAAAGTACTATCCTTATAAACAAAGAGTACCTTAGACTTGCACTGTGTCTCTTTAAGCATATACTATTGCAAGAGGATAAGACATGATTGAAATTAATGCATAAGCAATAAAAAGGACAAGGGCATCTTTTCATTTTTTTCCCCTCTGAGAAGGCTTACTCGCTGTTTCAGGGTTTTGCTGCCTACTAGAGGCAGCAAGAGCACAGCAGAGGAGTTAATGGTAGCCTTCACACGTCCATGAAGCCGCTCTAGATCTGGAACCTTGCGTAGATATTGAGCAACAAGTAACATGACTTCTGGATGTGCTAAAAGCTCATCGACCACATCTAGCCTTTGATTAATTTTCTCAACATCTCTCAATGGATGACAGATCCAGTTCCTTAAAAGCCGTTTACCAAACGAGGTGATGCAATTATCAAGATACTTGTACAATGTACCTGCAATCCAATGTCCAAATTTATAAAAAAAATAATAATAAAAATGGATGCTTACTCCTGCAAAAACTCTAAAACATTTTGTCATAGAACTAGAATACAACAAAAGCTTGCCTGATTGACCACCATCAGCATTATTATTGAAAATCTCAAGATTCACAAGTGTTTGTCCATCCATTCTCAGACATCCTTTGTACACTTGATATGATATAACATCTCCATTACACAATGCATCATCCAACTGTTGAACCCAAGGTATCAATAAAGCATCTAGGATGTTAATGTTCTCAAATGCACTAATTCACTCCAAGGCTTACCATCAGTCGAGATAAGTGGCTAATGAGTCCACCAAGAGCACATAATGCAAGATCCTGATGCATAATCCCCTCAAGCATATGATCCCACCTGCTACAAGATCCTTTGAAGTATCCCTTTAACTGAATGAACTTTTTCACGTCTGAGGCCGTAACAAGATCACCACTAACTTCAGCAGGAGTCAACAATGTTGCGCTTGAACCTACAAATAGAACCAAATTTAATGTAGGTCTCCAATCCAGAAGGTCAATCAAGTAGCAGCACGCTGCCTCTAGGGAGCAAGTCTCTACATATCCGATAAAATTTGGATGAAAAACAGTATGGATAGTAAATACAGACAGATAAATTTTCCCTGAAAGAGTGAAACACTGAAGATTCATGAACTTTGATAACTATGTGATCCATCAATTGCACCATTCCAGTTCGAGCCTTCTATATATGTTAAGATTTATATTAGCTGCAGGGTGTTTTGGGTGGTGAGTGGCTAGATGGTAGGAAGATGGAAATATTTAGGAAGTCATGGAATTTTTGAAGTCACATCTTCATGTTGCCAGATATAACAAGAAGGGTAATAATAACTGCTTCACAAAGAACGAAACATGTAACTGAAGAGAATGGTTCCGAGAACTCTCACCTGTTAATGAGTACTTCTTCAGTGCCTTCAGTACCTCTTTGGACACTCCTGTAAGAAATCACGGGTAAGCATCAGCACAAAGCTACGAATATTCTAAAGATTATTGAAGCCAGACCCAAAACATATATATGGCATTAACCTGAGTATATGATTCAACAGAGATCATGCATTACTTAGGTTTTATAGAAAGGCGGCTCCTTAAATGAGAAATAATGAATAAAAATCAAATTCAGCAAGTTTACCTTGACTATCGTAAATCACTTCCTTAGGTGACACCTGGAAATGAAACCAAAAGGGATGAGTAATTAGTTCATTTTTCAGCAGCCTGTCTATCTAAGACATATAAAGAAAAGCCAAGATGCATACTTGCATTAACAATGCTCCCAGAGCTGCATAAGAAGCATCATCACGGATGGAACCAACCCAAAATCTCAAAGCAGCACAATCGACAAAAGCAAACGCAAAGTCTACCGAACCATTCTCCAGCGCACAACACTCCTATGAACAAAAATAAAAAGAATTACAGGCCCATAACGTTTTAATACAGTTCATTACGGTAAATCAAAATAATCATTCATGTCCAGAAGAAAAACATCGCTCTTTCCACTCAAACATATCCAATTCAGAAACCCAACCATGTGATGATATACCAAAACCAAAAAGAAGCAAGGTCAAAAAAGAATGAGAGCAAACAGATCCCAAACAACCTCCTTGATGGCAAGAAGATGAACAGCATTAGGGCCAATACTATCATCACTGGTGGTAGATGGCGTGAGCACGCTTACTAATTTCCTTTGAATTACCTGCAATTAGGTAGTAAAGAATACTCAAATTATAAATAACAAAGTTGGCAATGATCTAAAGAAGTTATGCGTAACACCTATCACACAATCTTGCAAAGCAAAACGCAGAAACCTTAAAGCCACCCAACAAAGACCTTATAATAATTGAACAACTTGTAAACAGTACAATCAGGACATTTTACACAGCAAAAATTACATGGAATTAAGAGGCTTTCACTTCAAAGAAAAGTTCAATAATTACGTCAACATGGAGCTAGAAAAATAAACAAAGCTTTTGTTAAACTTACTGCAGTGGAACCTCTAGACTTTGCTTGCTCTGATGTCTCCAGCTGTTCTATTCTTCCAACTTTATACCTTTAAAAAATGAGAAACAAGGGGAAATAAAGGTAATATCATATCAAAAACTAAGCAAATGTGATGCTGTTCTTAGATTAAACAACTAGAACATATAGAGCTCAACTTAACAAGTGGAATAACGAACACAGGCTCAAAGGAAAAAAGAAATGTATACAGGAAGTAAACAGATTCGGATAAGATGAGTATAGATGTGTGCAGAAACTTGCTTACCCACGATCAATCAGCTTCTGAACAGCATCATCAATCCCACTCTCCGATATACCCACCTGATCAGAGTTAAAGGTTGGCATAAATACAGTATTAGCTATCTACTTCTACAGATATCAAAAAAGCTCAAAAAAAAAATGACAGTTAAATTTTGTGGATTGAAAAATTACCTGACGACATTTACCCACTCCACTTACTGTCATTTTCCAATCAAGTTCCTTGTGACCAATTTCAGCATCAATTTCATAAAGCTCGTAAAATTTTCCCTGAATATAGAAGAATTAGTTAATTTAGAATTTGAGTAATGTAAATTTTACGTGGATTGTTGCCTACCCATACATGGTTGATATGCATGAAAATAGTCTTGCAAAGGCAAATAAGGAATAAGGTGAGTAAAATAATAGATCTGGAGCGTAAGATACATAAGCAACACCATTCAACATAACACTACCTTCTTTGCAGAATTTAGAGAGTGCAGATTGATTTTACAGCTATACTAAGTCTTAAATATGTAGTAGTCTCGTCATTACCTTCTTACTTGCAAAATTTAGAGGGTAAATCTACTCTAGTTTACGACCAAAGCCCACCAAAAAAGCCCCTTTACTTATTCATTGCAAAATGCAAACAATTGGTTCTCTACTGAGTTTAATCACTGTAATGGTTTGTTTTAACTTCAAACTACTTCATTCTGAGCTGTAGATTAGTTTGAAAAGCAGAGGCTCCCAACACTAAAGGCAAAAACAAAACTAACCACTTTAAAGAAGAGCACCACGTCCATGTATTGACATTTGACATCCCAGTATTGCTTTTGAGAAGCCGACATTTTCTTTAAAGCATCGGGAGGTATGTAGAGTGTTCTTTTGTCATATAAAGGATTACCAGGCCTTCTTCCTTTAGCATCCTTGATTTTAGAAGGATGAAGCCATTCAAACTTACTACTCATGGCAGTATCCTCTTCATGGTTCTTCTTTTGATTCAATTCCTGAAAACATTTCATCCTTTTGGCATGATTTGATGTGGAGGCATCGGTTTTTGGTTCAAGAATATCTTCTTGTACCCTTTTATACCGAGGAGCTGAAGGCCGTGTGCCTGGTGTTTCTGGTCCAGCAACATCATCATCACTTTCAATAACAGCCGGGCACCATTCGCTTCCTCTTTTAACTGTTCCATAAGAAAGGCAACCAGTTTGCTTTCTGGTTCCTTGAAAAAGGAAATTTCCATTTACCGATTGTTTGGGCACGCTGGATGTACTACTAACAGCGCGCATATCAATTGGATCACCAGTTGGCTTCCTGCAATTTGGTTGATGTAAAAACTCATTTCAGATATGGAATGGCGTTACTCATGTATTTCCAAACAGAACATAACACTTTCCAAGAGCTCTGAAGCTTATATCCTTCTTTTTTTTTGTTAGTTAACGAAGCTCATATCCTTCAAAAATAAGAATACCACTACTTCTACAGAGATTTAAATTCCATTTTACAAACCTAAGCAAAACAACTAACAGAAATGAGACAATGAAAAAGCCTATCAAACATCAGACAAAAAATTTAACAAGTTTCCAGCCCTAGAGAATTGCAAATTTCACACGCCAAGAATTTCATGCCCTAAATATCAAGTGAAATTAAAATAAAATTGCAAATAGGGAGAAGGTATGCGATTACCCAGTGGAAGAGATTTTAGCAGTATCATTCTTGACGAACTTGTGCTTTATGCAAGAGAATAGGTCATTGGTTCCGATTACATCTCCACGGGCCGGGAGAACCTGACGCGGAACTTTCTCCGGCGGTGTAACAGTTCCTTTGACTTCTTCACCGGTACAGTCAACTTCGGCAGTACCAGTAGCTTTCTTGGGTCCAGAAACGGCGTCATTTGTATCCTGCTTTGTCAGAGGCAAGGGGAGAGCTCCGCCGCCGTCCGCCGAGTCTCCGCCGGGAGTTTTCGGATGTCCCTCGGGTGAGGGTTTCTTGAAGAACGACGTAATCGATTTCTGGCGCTGCATATTGATAAATTGAGTACTGTGAAAGACAGTGAGATAATTATAAATACATTTAAAATAGATTTAGAATTTTGCCGCCAAAACTTCTGGGTGAAATTTTCATTTTGGGGGGGCGGGGGGATTCCTCAATTGGACGTCTTCTTTGTGGCCGTTCGATTATCCCCTTTTACAGTTTTCACATTTCGCGGTAGGATTATTATTAATCATTAGAGTTAAATTAAGGAAGTGTCTGGTTCATGAGTATGAAAATAGTGAGATATGATTGAAATGGGATTTGATAGTATCCTGATTTCTATGACATTTTTTAGTGAACTATCATTCTCATGTCTGATACTTGGTAACATGAGATTTGAAATGAAAATTAACCAGAAATGTCATCTTAAGCCCTCACAAAAAATCACTAATAGGCAAAAATTAAACCAGTCATAATTTTTTAAATTAAAAGTCTAGATCTTTTTTTATCAAAGATTTTCATTGTTTTTAACCTCTTGAGAATAGATTTAGAGGGAAGTCGATATTGAGATTGTTCCATCCAAAATTTGCGGCATAAGAAGAATTGATGAAAGTGGTGGCCCAAAAAATGGTGAATTTGGCTTACAATGAGGAGTTAGAAAGGGATAGTGAGCCTTCCGGATAATCAAATATGGGCAGCTTCCCATGGTTGTGGTATCATGGTTTAAGAGAGGGAAAAGAATATCAAGAAGAAGATGGAATATATACTTTAAATTTTTCAATAGGATGAGATGGATTTGAATTGGTTCTGAATTTTGGTGGCTATGGTGGGAGTGGAGGAGAAACACGGTGGCTGTGGTGGCTATGGTGGAAGAAAGAGAAGCATGGTGGCTATGAAGGAAGTGGAGAAGCTGGACAAAACAGTTGTTGTAAGGAGAAGAAGATAAGGGTAAATAATGAGAAAAAATAAAATACTTACTGCTTGGATTCAAACCCACCGAAATAGATGGGAATAGAAAATTGAAGGGGTGTTTGTTTAGAGGGTTTGATACCAATTCTATAATTGTGATATCAATTAATGATGCTTGCTTCAATAATTTGGAATGGACTAGCCCACAAAATTGACTTTCATTCCTTTTCTTTCATTCCACTTCAATTAGGTGGGCTTGATAGAAAAAAGAAATTTTTTTTGACTCTTTTATCATTTTGCCCCCCTCTCTCTGGATTGTACCTTTCTTTTACCTCATCTTAGCCTTCATCCTTTCTCCTTCCTCGATGGCTTCACCGTCATCCCTCTTTTTTCATGCAAAAACTAAAATTATTCTATCATCAATTTTTTTAATTCTCCCCATATCCACTCTTCTCAGCAGCATCATCAATATCATCACACTTATTTTTTGCATCAAAATCTTTGCCCATCTTCTCCATCTCTGACTGTGCACAAGGACATATTTTCAGATACGTCGAAATTTATGCCAAAAAAAAAAGTCATGAGTTCTCACTTTTTGCCTTCTTTCTACATTCTTTCATTGGTGGTTAATTTCATCTCTGTTGCAATAGATCTAAAATGTCCCTTTAGTTTGCTGAATCTGAATAGTACGTTGGAGGAATTAAGAAAATTTAAAAAATAACAAAACCCATTTGACAAATCTTTGTTGGCGTCACAAAGATATGTATATCTCTGTTGATGGAATTTTCTTTCACTTCTGATAATTCAAGCTTTCGACGGCAGTGAAGGATAAAAATCAATTTTTTCTATGATAAAATGTTTGCTCTTTAACGATAAAAAACTCATTTTATCTTATTTTTCATTTCAAAAATTTCACTAACCAAGCAATATATATGGCAATGATAGTATATCAACAAATGTCATAGATTGGAATACTATCAAACCTCTTTTCTTTCATATCCTAAATGGTGAACCAGGCACCTCCTGAACTGTAGATGGGATTGAAATCCAACAAAGTGGACCATTGTCATTCCACATTATCAAACCAAGCAACAAAAATAGATTTCAAACCCATAACCTAGATATGACACTCACTAAACAAGTACCTCCTAAATACTACTCCCTCTGTCTCAAAATTATTGTCTAATTTGAGATTTCACTTTTAATACAATTTGAAATAGAAATAAAAATCCAAACTTGACAATAATTATGAGACAGAGGGAGTATTAGAATACGAGGAGTAAGAATTATGGAAAAAAAAGTTAAAATAAAATGATTAGCTAAACATGTTTGTATTACTATGAAGTAAGAACCACACTACTGTCTCTCTCTCGCAAAGTATACACACATTATTGTCTCTCCCCCACAAAGTTTATACGCAACTAATATAACGTTTGAAAGTAAAGTGACAAAGATTAACATCTCTTTTACTCATATTACTCTACTATTCTAAAAAAAATAAAATAAAACCATATGTACAAGTTTTCAGTACAAACCTAATTTGATGTGTATTATTTTTTCAGTACAGAGTAGTAACTTTTGGAACGTCAACGCATTAAACTTTTATTAGTAACTTCCAATGGAATTGAAGTCTTTGACAAAAATGGCGAGTAAAGCATAATAACAAACTAATACATTTACCGTCCCAAATACAATAATTCATTTGGGAAAGACTGAGATTGAAGAAGTAATGAGTTTTTATCCTTCTCTTACACAAATTCACCCCAATGTTGTTTGCTATGATCAACGAGTTCCTCCTCCGTGCTCCATTTACAGTAGAACTTTTATAAATTAATAGTGTTGGGACTACCAAAATTTATTAATTTAGTGAATTATTAAATAATTGATAAATTATTAATTTAAAGTGTATTAGAGAAAATAACATTCACTAAATTACTTGATTTGCAGTTATCTATACATCCGAATAAATCAAGTATTAAAATTATTATGAATACTAAAAATCCACACATAATCCGTATCATCTTCAGAGACTAAAAAACAAGTATTAATAGTTCATGTTTTACTAAATATTTATAGTAACTATTATTATTGTTTTGTTGTTAGTGTATTTATTAATTTATTATGATATTGTTGGGACCTATAGATATATAGGAGCTTTTCGAAAATGTTATTATCTAATCGTTTTGTCAATTTTTTTCACTTTTTCTACTGGTGCCAAGTTAGGACTAAAAAAATTATTAATTATTAAAAGTTATTAATTTATAGATTATTAATTTACCGATGTTCTATTAGAAAAAGAGAACAGAGGTTCGGTCATTACAAAACCAATTCCAATTCGGATGATCTAAATCAAGTCGATTATTGGGCTTCACTACCTTTAATGGGCTTTTCGTGATCTAGACCAGCCCATGACCTCTTAAGCACGTTGTATCTTGTAATTCTAAATATTCTTTGTTTGGCCCATCATATATTCAGGACACGAAGTTGTCAACGTGAAAGTCAAAGGGGACAAATTCCGTTTGCGTGGACACCAAGTTCCAGTCAACACCATCCAATGTGGCATCAATCAAGCCAATAAGACCTTACCACGTGCCGTTCCAAGTTTCAGATATTTCCAACATCAGCAATGGGAAATCTAATTATACTTGGGCACCAAGATAAAACAAATCATGAAACTCCCCGAACCTTCCAGAGCACATTTTCCCACTTTTTCTTTAAACCCAGACCGAATGAAATGATCATTCCAGAACCTCACCCAACTCCTTTATAAGCATCCTCACCCTTTCCTGAACAAATTCACACATAAATTAGTTTATTGCCAAGAAGAATTAACCACTTTCAAATCTCTTTTTAAAGTCAACTTGTTTCCAGATTCCAATTGTAGCCCAAGATGCCGAGCAGACATCCAGGAACAATTAAGCAGGAATGGGAGCCGGTGGTGCTTCAGAAACCAAGGGCCAAGGCACAAGATCTGAGGGATCAGAAGGCGGTGAACCAGGCCCTGAGATCAGGGGCTCAGGTCCAAACCATCAAGAAATTCGATGCGGGGTCTAATAAGAAGGCGCCTCCGACCGCCGTGAACGCCAGGAAGCTGGAAGAAGCAGAGGAGCCGGCGGCTTTGGACAGAGTATCGACGGAGGTGAGACAGGCAATTCAGAAAGCGAGGATAGAGAAGAAGTTGAGCCAAGCTGATTTAGCTAAGCAAATAAACGAGAGACCACAGGTGGTTCAGGAGTATGAGAACGGGAAGGCTGTGCCTAATCAGGCTGTTCTGGCTAAGATGGAGAAGGTCTTGGGTGTCAAGTTAAGAGGATTGAAGAAATAAAGCGGCCGACTTAGTTAGGGTTAATTGGTTAAAATGGTGTCCAATTTGATGATTTGATTTGAATGTTCTGTTCTTAGTTGTCACATTAGTGTCTGAAGAGGAATGGATTTCAGATGTAAATTTGAGGATGCTTTTGCTAAAACAAGAGCTAAATCAAAATTTATCTGACATGCTTCCGTCTGTTTCTCCGATCCGAAAAGGATGTCTAAAAACTTTGTACATATTGTTCCGCAATGTCAATTATTATGGAAATTAGCTTCTATGTGGTGAATCTTCCCCTTAAATCTTTATATTCTTTTTACTTTTTTGATGGTTATGGTTGATTGAAATGAATGAACAACCATTATATTCTTTTTACATTTTTCTTTTCTTTTTGTATATAATCTTCATCAACAAATGGTGGGGTTTTTTTTTTTTTTTTTCATTTGTAAATCTACTCTGTTTTGAGGACATCTTCATTGAATGAACTGATCACATGTATCATGTTTGTGTATGTAACACGACGCAAAGGGGCAATGGACTTCACTCTATTTAGCAGAATGGTATAATTTATTTGTTGATTTCAACAACCTTAGTAAACAAGGGATGAAGCTGAGTTAATGAGCAATAATACATCACTATATATATATTGTACAGTGTTTAAAGCCAAGGTGAATTGTAAATAGGTGTGACAACCGATTTAACCTGGAGGTATTTCACGAGGCCATCAATCCCCATGTCTCTGCCAAAGCCACTCATTTTATAGCCTCCATAAGGGATGTCTTTGTCAAAACCGAAATAACAGTTTATCCAAATTGCGCCAGCCCGAATCGATCTTGAAACTGTGTTGGCAGTGTTTAAGTCATTAGTCATTATGCCGGCGGCTAGCCCATATTTAGTTGCGTTTGCCCTCTTAATCACCTCGTCTATCGTCCTGTGGTAGCTCAATTAAGAGTCACGATCACGATCGAGAACAAGAGACAAGACTATATCACATTGAGTTCGAAACAATGCCAGTTACTACTCTCTCCTTCCCGGAATGATTGTCTACTTTGGATTTTCATTTTTAGTTCAAATTGTACTGAAAGTGAAATGCTAAACTGGACAACAGTTTTGAGACGGAAGGAGTATGACTTACTTGAATTTGAGTACCGACATGATGGGGCCAAAAATTTCTTCCTTCGCGATTGTCATATCATCCTGTAGCAATGGAAAACTTTGGCTAAATTACTGGATTTCAAATGAATCACAGATTTTAAACACAGAAAGTTGATGGTTTTTCAAAGGTTTACATACCGTGACATCGATGAATATTGTAGGCTCAATGTAGTAACCCTTTCTTTCAAGAGCCTTACCACCATGGAATAAAGTAGCCCCTTCCTTGTTGCCCTTGTCGATGTAAGAAAGTACTCTCTCGTATTGCTTCTTGTCAACCTGAATTATCATTTAGCACATTTTCCAGGTACTAGTGATGATTAGGAAATAAAATACTTTAGGATTTGAAACAAGCCAATATAAGAGCATTCATAGTTGTTGATTCACATACTTGAGGTCCATAATGAGAAGTCGGTTCGAAAGGATCTCCAACCACCCAATTCTCGACTTTCTCTTTCAACTTTAGCAAAAACTTGTCATAGATCCCTTCTTGAACAAACACACGAGATCCGGCCACACAAATTTCTCCCTGGAAGTTATCAAAGGACTTGAGAGACCTCCGTTGATGCGGCCAAACAGCGGATGAAGACAGAGCAGTTAGTGCATACCTTGTTGAAATAGCACCCCTGTAGGGCTAGATCTGCAACTTTGTCAACATCTGCATCGTCGAAAATTATAAAAGGTGACTTTCCTCCCAATTCTAAACACACAGGTTTCAAATTACTTTTCGCCGCAGCCTGCATTATGAGGCTTCCCACCTCAGTAGAACCTGTAAAACTTATCTGCACAATTTCAAAATCATACATGAACAACAACATAAATTAGTACTTTTCCGTTTCGTCAGGAAATCGACTCGTGGAAAACGTACATTTCTTCCTGGTAAACTTAAACATATACATTGTCTGCCTACCATATCAACATCCATATGTGAGCTGAGTGCAGCACCAGCTGTGTGCCCAAATCCCGGTACAACATTAAGAACTCCATCAGGGATTCCTGCCTGTTGCAACATTTTTTTCAGATCACACTCACAATTACTAACAGGTATCATAAAATAAAACAATCTCTTGTTGTTCTGGATTACCAGCTTAGCTAAATGAGCATAATAAAGAGCCGAAAGCGGGGTCTGTTCGGCAGGCTTGACAATCATGGTACAACCAGCGGCTAAAGCAGGGCCAACTTTCATGGAAAACATAGTACTGGGGAAGTTCCTGGGAATAATGTGTCCTACAACACCAATGGGTTCTTTCAGTGTGTATCCTTGTAGCTCCCGTGACATTTTGAGCGTTTCCCCATGAATTTTATCCGCTGCACCGGCATAATATCGAAGATTTTCTGCAGTTTCGGGAATATCCAGAAACTTGGCCAGGTGAAGTAATTTTCCGGCATCAATGGCATCCAACATGGCTAATTCTTCCGTATGTTCATCAATCAGGTCTGCAAACTTCAAGAGTATCCTTCCCCTCTCCTATAGTGTGAAAACATTCAGGCTGATATTATTTTGGTTTGCTCCTATAAATTTATTGACTTTAGCTAGATGGGGAAAAAAAAAGGCTGATAAAAAATCAACAATTGGTAAATTAATGCAAGGTTCTCTGAGCGGGTAAATGGTCATATTCAAACTATTCCGGAGATAAAAATCTTCCAATAATCATTAAATTCGGTAGGATAGTTTTCTAATCTGTGTATTTGTAACTGGTTTGGACGACTTGAGTTGAAAATCATATGTAAATGTTTAGCTTCTATCTGAAATTTTGTTATTATATAATGGTGATTGCATACAATTGTACTAGAAAATATGACACTCTGACCAAAGCAAAGTCTGTGGATTTTGTATACATAACTTGATAACAACAAATAGCAATACGCACAAATTGAATACAACAAATAGCAATACGTCAATATTCACTACCATTTTAGGCTTTGTTTGTTTCATTTTTTTATAGTTTTTTTTATTAATATATTAATAACTGTCCCATTCCAGCATACCTTTTTACATTTCTAATACACCTTTTTACGTTCCCAATATAAAAAACACCTAAAAACACATACTAAAAAAACAAAATAAACATACCCTCAGCAACCACCTGTGGTCCTACAACTATTTTTTCAACCATCTCATCATTGCTCACACCCTCTATATAAAAAAAAAAAAAAATGGTATCAATTTAATTTATGGTCAGCTTCTTGTAATCTAATACTCCCAAGTAGTACTTTCTTTTTCCCAGAAAAATAATCACTTTAACTCAACAATCAATTAGTATTTCCTGAGAGAAAAATATGGGACAGACCTAAAAAGTTCTTTGGCATGTTTTTAGAAAAGCTACCCCAATGCCAGTCTTATTCGTACCTCCTTTTTGTGTATCACATTGCTAACCAGAGATGTCTGGGTAAGCATGTAATAGTACACGCTCTGGTTCACACATTAATCATCCACTGTTTTGTACCATTAACGGAGTGAATTATTAAAGTGAGGATGACTACTAAAAATTCAGAGAATATACCGGCAATCTCAATGAAAACTAAGACCAGACTAAGTAGTTGATTGGACGTATGAATCTGTTTGCTAAAAGGTGCAATATTTCCTCAGCTAAATGATTGTACGATGATTCAAACCTATAGTATTGTACTACTACAACTACTTACAGATGCTTTGAAAATCGGTGTCTAAATAGATGCCGAATGAATCTACCGACGCAAACAACAAACCGACCCGGAAAATGGAAGTACAGTCTATATTCCGAAACGATTGTTTTTTTTGTATTTTCACTTTTTAGTAAGATTTGTAGTGCTAAAAATGAAAATCCAAACCGGAAAATCATTTCAGACGGAGGAAGTAGTAAACGAGGCAACTGTAGAGGGTAAATAGGAGAACATACGGCGCCGGGAAGACGAGGCCATGGGCCGTTGTCAAAGGCTTGGCGGGCAGCTTGAACAGCCAAATCAACATCTTCCTTATCTCCTTCTGCAATGTTCGCAATCACATCCCCTGTTCTTGGGTCAATCGTCTCAAATGTCCTTCCTGCAGTACATTGAATTTTTCTTTTTATTTCTTTTGTTCACATAAAAGTTGGCACAAAGATTCAAAATCGTCTCAAGCAACATGGCTAATGGCATGTGCGAAATTCTTCCTCAGCAGCAGAAGAACACAACCAAAACTGGAGATTGCTTAGATAAAGAAAACTAAGAAGGGTTATCCAATCCAGCTTGGTGAAGAAGAGTGCACCTGAAACAGAGTCAACAAAGTGTCCATTGATGAAGAGCTTGGTGAACTTTATTTGAGGAAGCTTGAAATGAGATTCCATAGTTCCATTGCCGTTGCTTTCTGCAGCCATCTCTCTCCCGGCCTCCAAAGTTTATACTTCCTTGAGCTTGAGATTTATTTGTTATTTGTGTATATGGAGCGACACAAACGGATGAGGACATAAAAGATACAGAAGCAGGTGTTCTAAAACTACTTATGTACTGCCTTATATAAGGATAAAAGGAAAGAGAGAGAATGTACAGCCTGACATGTTTTACACTGTTTCTCCTTTTTCTTTGTTTAAAGTGCAGGGTGTACACCATCGGCAAGGGGGATATGCTCGGTTTTAATTTAGCAAGATTAAGTTGGCACAGCTTAAGCAACAACGATTGGCTGAAGCAATCAAACCACAGCAAATAAGGAATTAGTGTTCTTCAATAACGGGAAGGAAAACAAACCTTAATACTCTCCTCGTCTTAAAATAATTGATCATATTTTACAATAGTGTTAGTATAATAAACAAGACGACCATTTTGGATCAGATGTAGCATTGTGTTTCGATTTGGATGAGATGTTGTTGTGTTAGAATTTGCAAAGTGGAGTTCTGGAGATGTAAATTTAGTCCAAAATTTCTTTGACTAGCTTCAGCACTACAGAGTAATTTTTTTTTGTTTTTGTTTTTTTGTGCATTTAATGGTTTTGCATTGCCAACTTATTATCATCATAGTATTACAAGGTGACTTCCAATTTTGACAAGGAGGCCGGACGAGTGTGATTACATTAGTTTTAGAGCGTATTAAGAGAGAAAAATGCAAGCAAAATACACAAGAAATTGTTACATACATAGTCTCGGTTCAAAAAGAGAGAGGGATAGAGAACTGAAAAGATCCAAACCAATGAAACAAAGGACAATGGAGAATGGCACAAATTTCTGGATTGCATTCAAAAAAAGGAAAAGAGGTGACACATGGAGCAGTATATACACTCACCAATACACTGAGTCACTTTCTTCTATCACACAAATCACAACTGTTGCAGTGTTTAAAGCCAAGGTGAATTGTAAATTGGTGTTACAACTGATTTAACTTGAAGGTACTTCTTGAGTCCATCCATACCCAAATCTCTGCCAAACCCGCTCATTTTGTAGCCCCCATATGGGCTATCTCTGTCAAAGGCAAAATAACAGTTCATCCAAATCGCACCAGCCCGAATCGATCTTGAGACTGTGTTGGCGATGTTCAAGTCATTAGTCATAACTCCGGCTGCTAGCCCGTACTTACTCGCATTCGCTCTCTTAATCACTTCCTCGACCGTCCTGCAATTTGTTGCAGATGGATCATGTAAGTTCATGACCATGATTTTCAAATGTGATTATTGTAATGAGACGGAGGTGAGGTATAGTTAGTTTCTTACTTGAACTTGAATATGGACATCACGGGGCCGAAAATTTCTTCCTTCGCGATGGTCATATCATCCTGTGGGCAAATAAAAATACTTTAGTTCAAACTGCAGAACTTGGAACGCTCAAAAAACAGAATGTTGGTCCTTGGAAGCTATATACTTACTGTGACATCAATGAATATTGTAGGCTCAATGTAGTAACCCTTTCTGTCAAGAGCCTTGCCGCCATGGAATAATGTGGCTCCTTCCTTCTTGCCCTTCTCGATATATGAAAGTACTCTCTCATATTGTTTCTTGTCAACCTGCATTCATACAAGAGGAACAAATGTGAATTTATAAGTATGGAGCAATGTGTCACCTTGAACCTGAGGTTCAGTTACATTACTTAGAGTTGAAACCACATACTTGGGGTCCATAATGAGAAGTCGGTTCGAAAGGATCGCCAACCACCCAATTCTTGACTTTCTCTTTCAACTTGATCAAGAACTTGACATAGATTCCTTCTTGAACAAAAACACGAGATCCAGCTACACATATTTCTCCCTGGAAGTTATCATTTCAGAGAGATGTTAAACTTAAAAAGGACTTGAAATGCATGCATTGATTTAACAAAGGTAGAAATGATAACAAAAAATTTAGTAAATACCTTGTTGAAATAGGATCCCTGTAGGGCTAGTTCAGCAACCTTGTCAACATCCGCATCGTCGAAAATCATGAAAGGGGACTTTCCTCCCAGTTCTAGGCATACAGGCTTTAAGTTACTTGTTGCCGCGGCCTGCATTACGAGGCGCCCTACCTCAGTAGACCCTGTAAAACTTATCTGCACAATTCGAAAACATATGTCACCAACATTAGTCCTTTGTATCCTTCAAAAATTATTGAATCCATTGTTGGATCCAATATCAACTGATGAACTTCAATACACATTTCTTTTCCAATTAACTGACCCGAACAATGTCTACCTACCATGTCAACATCCATATGTGAGCTAAGTGCAGCTCCAGCAGTATGTCCAAATCCAGTTACAACATTAAGAACTCCATCAGGGATGCCAGCCTGTGTCAACATTTTATTTTTTTCACATTATGCTCATGAGTTAAAAGGTAGTCAATAACCCAAGGATCCTACAATATGATCCCCCGTCCATAAATAGTAGCCCTGATTCTAAACTAGTTTAAGTTTAAGAAACAAACTATTATTATGGGACAGAAGAATAAATTCACGATATCTTGTTGTTGAGGATTACCAGCTTGGCTAAATGAGCATAATAAAGAGCCGAAAGTGGGGTCTGTTCGGCAGGCTTGACAATCATGGTACAACCAGCAGCCAAAGCAGGGCCAACTTTCATGGTAAACATAGTACTGGGGAAGTTCCAGGGAATAATGTGTCCTACAACGCCCATGGGCTCGTGCAGTGTGTATCCTTGAAGCTCCCTTGACATTTTTAGTGTTTCGCCATGAATTTTATCGGCTGCACCTGCATAATATCGCAGAGTTTCTGCTGCTTCCGGAATTTCCATAATCTTAGCCAGGTGTACCAATTTCCCGGCGTCGATTGCATCCAACTTGGCTAACTCTTCGGTATGTTCATCAATCAAGTCTGCAAACTTCATGAGTATCTTTCGCCTCTCCTAATGGAATTAAAACAATGCAACAACATCAATGAGAAAAAATGATCAATGGTTATTACGTGTTTAACTACCCAAAAAAAAGTCCGACTACTCATTTTCAGTAATGGGAAAAAAGCGAATGAATCATCAACCACAAAACTACTATGGTTGCTGAGGTCGGCTATATGAATCATACATTCCGTGTTACTTCCTCCTCTAATTCAAGACACATATATATTTCTTTCTAATTGTTATTCTTCACTTTGTCTATTATACACACGTTTAAATACTCCCAAGTCCCAACCTTTTTTTGTTTAATCCTTTTTTTTTTTTTGTTTTTGGCCTCCTGTGATTGTTTTTCTTGCCAGTAAATTTAATATTAATTAACTCTACCAAAATCTATTCCCCATGTCCATCTCCACTTTTAAGATGTTATCTTTTCCTCTCTCGACTTTGATGGTGATAGGTGACAAATCAAGGTTCCAAAATATCACAAAGCTGACCAAAACGAAATTATAGAATGCATATTATATACGTTACTTATTTCACCAGATAATACAAACGAAATACGCCATTTGATTCCATTGGGTGGATCACCGATTCAGCAAATATTTAATAGGACGAAAAGGTAACCTATCACTATAGCAGCCAAGAAACAATAGAGTGGTCCGACAAATTTTAGTCAACTATCACGTCATTCACAGAGTTGACTTTCACTCCCTACAGTTTTTACTTCCATCCACCCCTGCAAATTGGAAGCTGAGAAGAAAACAGACTCCATAATAATGATAATGTCAATTGTTTGAGGCAACCGCCAAGTTGATCTTGATGTTATTATTAATACCTCCGTCCAAAAAGAAAATAGTTCACATTGACTTTTTAAATTTGTACTAAAAACAGTACAAAACTCAAAATTCAATTAGGATATTTTTTTGAAAGGAGAAAATATGATTTATGACTAGTGGGGATAGTTGAAATTAGAAAACATTGAAGATCAACTTTACAAGCTGGAGCACCGAAAAAATTTGGTTCATTATAACTTTATAGTAAATGGCTTCACTCTAAATCGGAGTGAGAGATACAGTTCAAAATGTAACCAAAAAGAATATCATAGAAAAGTCCTCATACGTCTTTTCTTAACTTCTTGTATTAAAATTAGAGTAAAGAGACATAATGTCGAATCATACAGGTAAGAGAATCAATTTGGGATGTCCTATAGAAATATGGCTTGAATTAAAGAAAATCTCAAAATGGCCAGACTAGAAACTGTTGATGCTAACCACAACTACTAAAAAAATAAAATAAAACACGGGCCAGACAACTCACAAGAGCCTTTTTGTTTGGTTTTTTGGATGATTTTTTTCAAATTATTTTAATAATAACTGTGTCATCTTTATATATTTTTTTACATTTTCAATACATTTTAATATAAAAAACACCTAAAAATACACACTAAAAAAACGAAACAAACATACTCTTTCTTCGGCATACAAAGGTAAGCCAAACGCGTTTTTTCTCTAATGAGTAAAAAAAAAATATATGTTGATCTTAACTTTTTTGTTTACCAATTTTGCTTGATTAGAGAAAAGATGTAATCCATTTAAAGATGAAACTTCTTGCACTGGGTTAGAATATACGATTCTCAATGTCCCCTGTAAAGTTATTAAAAAAAAAAAAAAACAGAGTATCTCCTATTTTTGAACAAGACAAGAATTAAACTAACAAAGATGCCTTGGAGCAATTTCTTATGAGCCCCAGTACCATTTTGTTGCATTTATGGTGAAAAGTTAGTTCCAGTTGCTAAATCATGTGGACCATGATTACCATAGAAATTGTAACCAACAGTCCTAAAATTCATAGGGATTGGATTACAATAGTGACAAACTGTTCCTAGTTCACGACGAAAAATGGTAAAATGGAGTTTTTTTTATAGGATAAATCGAGAGATTATTAAGGTAATTATTAAAAAAACAAAGAAAACTTACGACGCCAGGGAGACGAGGCCAAGGGCCGTGGTCAAATGCATCACGAGCAGCCTGAACAGCCAAGTCAACATCTTTTTTGTCCCCTTCTGCAATGTTTGCAATCACCTCCCCTGTTCTTGGGTCTATTGTCTCAAATGTCCTTCCTGCAGTACATTGAAATTTTTTCATTGGCAGAAATTCCAGGGCATTGGCGACATGGCTCTTGAGCAGAATGAATTATGGAACTGCAGAAAAGAAAAGAAAAGAAAAAAAACAGGAATTTCGACATGGGTTTTTTTTGGTTCGATTCATCGGATTTGGAACGGCTTTTCACTTGAAAACCATGTCCGAAGAAGGAACAATCCGTTTGACTATTAGTAGGTGATGATTCGGAAGGAAATGAGAAATGTACCGTCGTCCTTGGTTTGTAATTTTTTGGTCAAAACTGCAAACGACTTTAGTCACAAACCAAAAACAAAAAAACCATATCCACAAACAAGAAAACAGAGGCTCAATTTCACCGGGTTCTGAGGTCTTTTGGTATAAGCTAAAAACAACCCAGTTCTCAGATTTGGGAGAAGAATTAATGGAGGAAATCTGGAATCGAGTTCAGAATTTAATGATGACGAAAATATTACTGTAGCTGTATCAAGAATAAGAATCACCATATCCGAATCAGTCCTATCAAACAAGAAAGGAACAAGAGGCTCCTTTGTCTATCTATAAAGTTAGTTAACTCATAAAGTTGTGTTACCATTTTCATCTGTAGTGTTTTCTTCAAGTGATAAAAATCCCGTTTACCACACAATCATTGAACGACAGTACAATTTGAAAAAAAGTACCTTTTACAAAGATTACACGCGCACTGATGAAAATCTATACGAATCCATTGATCTCTCAGTGGTTAATCTTTATGGATGGGAGTTGGGAATTTCTTCTCATTTTCCACAGATAAAGAATTCAAAGCAAGTGGTAGCAGATAATTAGAAGAATGATGGAAACCTGAAACAGAGTCAACGAACTGGCCATTGATGAAGAGCTTGGTGAACTTTATCTGAGGAAGCTTAAGATAAGATTCCAGAGTTCCATTGCCGTTGCTTTCAGCTGCCATTTCTTTTTCCTGTTTCGAGCTCCAATTTATCTCACAGCTCCAAGGTTTCGGTTTAACGTGAGGAGAAGTAAGAGAAAGTAGTTTTGTGTGTGTATATTCAATGTTTGAGCGAGACGAGCAGTCCACGTCTTGATGAGCATATATAGAGACACAAGAACCAGAAAAGCTATGAATAATATTGTACTCCTTCCGTCCCATAATTATTGTCCAGTTTTACTAAAATGAAATATTTTATTTTTGGTCAAACTTAACTATATTTTACCTTAAACAACCGAATATACTCCTACATAAGTAATTGTTTAACCACTAAGATTTTATAGATAATAGTTTTTACTAAGGACAAATGTGTAACTTGATCCATAAAAAGTCAAATTGGACAATAATTTTAGGACAAAATTTTTTGGGCAAGGTGGACAATAATTATGGGACGGAGGGAGTATGTTTTTTTTTTCTTTTTTTTTTTGTACAGTAGAAGAGGCCAAAGCCTAATTACAAAAAAATAAAACATTTCGAGGATAAAAAATCCCAACAATGTCATGTTCTAACCGGTAAATAACCTCCGCCGGCGGGTTTGATTTGACATATTGACAGTTTTGACATTGCTGAATTATTTATCTATTTACTTATTAACATTGTGGTAGTATAATTAGCATTTGTTATTATTACTGATTTTCCCATGTAATTTGTTCCCTTATTTAATTTTTCTTTTGCGGAAACTACAGAAAAAATGCCGTTAGTCATTTTTGTGTTCGTTTATTTGTTCACTACAATAAAGCCTAACTCATGAAATGTGTTACTCCCTCCAGTCCTGGAATGATTGTCTAGTTTTTTATTTTTATTTTTAATTCAAATTGTATTATAAATAAAAATTAAAACTGAATAATAATTTTGAGACGGAAGTAGTATTTGGTGATTTGACCCTAACTTTGAAGTTTCTATGCATGTCATACTTTGATCATGAATTCATGATTCGGTCTCAACTTTGAAGTTTGTAGACGATGCAAACCTCTCCTAGCCCTTACTCTTGTTAGTTGTCTGATAAAATAGACTAGACAAATCGAACTAAAATAGCATTACTTCTATTTTTACATTAAAAAAAAGGAAGACAAGAAGAAAATACAAACCTAAATGGCAATTTTGTTTTCTTGTTAGTTTTTCCTTAAAATGTATTTTAAAAAATAGTAGGAGTCATTGGAATATATTAATAAATATGGATCCAAAATGGTTGCCCATAACTCATTGTTAGTTTTTTTATTTTTATTTTTATTTTTATTTTTAGCTATATTTCAGTTTTTGAAGAGATGAACTCATCCGATCCATAACATATAGATGAATATTAAGGTGCTCTTTTTTTTTTTTTTTTTTCATGTACCAAAAATTAGAAGTGCTCATACACAAGTCACTTTTATGAGGAAAGCGGTTTTTGTCACTATCCCTTTCCGATTTCGGAGTGTTTGTTACTGTAACATGATACTACTTCATTCGATGCATAAGTAATAAATCCAAGTACTTATTCATTTCATTTCTGTCTTGAAAAATAATTGCATTTTGTACCTGACGCACTTATTACATGTTTTTTTTTTTTTTTTTTTTAAATTTACATTACAATCGCATCTTAACCATGCATGAGATCGACGTTAAGCGTTTAAAACAATCAAATTATTATAAATAATAGTACAACTGTAAATATTTGTAATCTATCTTTGCCTTGTTTCAAGACGAAAACAAGTGAAGTTCCTATGTAGTACATTAATAAATTATGCACATATATTATAAAGATTATATAATAAACGGAAAAGTATATTTAGTTTTCCACGAAAGTACCGAGGTTATAAATGTGCATAATTTATAATTAACCATTTGTTCCACGAGCAATTCACTTATGGTTGTTACGATATTCTTTTCCTTTTGTTTTTTCAATTGCCCAAAAGCTATAGCTAAGGAAATTAGGATTTACTGGAAAAGGCGTGAGAACTGAAAGGCTAAAAGAAACACGTTAGCTGGTTGAAAAGTGTTCAATCCTGGAGGCTTATAATAATTATAAAAAACATCTTTCATTGTCTCATTAATTTCATATGTTTGTGTTATTAACCATTTTTATACCCTGGAGGCTGTATTTCTCAATGCATTTTTCTGCTTCGAATTTCACGTGGTACATTGTTTTGAATTTTGGTACATACTCTAAACATAACTTCGTGATTTTTTTTTTTACTCAACCTTATAATACCAACAATTTCATCATCCTCCACTATTAATCTTCCTACCTAATCCTTCAATCCCTATGATTTTCGTTACCCTTCGAGAGACAAAACAAAAACAATAGAGGTCAATGGGGTTTATGCATGGTGAGAATTATTTTGTAAGCGACTTTCTCTTTGCCTACTTTGTTTGGTTCATTTTTCACTAGATTCTGTAACAATTTTTTTGTTAATATGAACTATTCTATTCCAAAATACTTTTTTTTTTATATTTTTAATATAATTTTTTATAATAATAAAAAAAAATTAAAAACACACACTAAAAAAGTGATCCAAACATACATATTTTCCTTAGTATTATTATTTTTTTTAGTTTGTTTTATAGGTCCGAATTGTTTGGGATTTAATTCACAATTTTTCATATTGTACACGGTTTAATTTAGAGAGTTAACAACATTTATAGACGCAAAGCAATTTGACTATTTCTTCAGTTTCAAAGAGTTTATTTTATTAAAATAAATAAGGAATTTTTATTTATTTATTTATTTATTTTTACCTACACCAGTGTCACTTCCATCAAATTTTATGATTAGGATTAACAAAGTTCAAATGAGGGGACGGAATCTTGCCTTACATTTTTGTCTTGTGGTGTATGTATGTAATACTTATCAGAATTTCACATGTAAATCATTTTTTTTTTCCCTTTAGCATTCATTAGTCTTAATATGTTTATCAAAGTTGAAAATTTAGATAGTTATGTTATTAAAATAAAAAACGACACGCATGATGTACCACCGTTTTGGAGATTTATTCTTTTTATTTTAAAATGATTTCTGTATTCATTATTTAAAAAAAGGCTATAAAACAATACCACCATTAATTCATGAAATTAGTGGTTTATAACGCTAAATGGTGGTTCTTTTTTTATTCGGGGTAAAAAAAAAAAAAACCAAAATGTAGAGTATTATGTGATAGACAAATCAAAATCAAAATTTTCCAATTAGAAAATGCTCCCAATTAAAGTTTTACTGCCTAGCTAGCTCTTAAGTCAACGACATTAGTCGGAACACTTAATGAATTTTTTCCCCTCTTGCGATTCATTTAGAACACTATTATGTACACTCAGTCGTAGAGTATGCAAATTAAGATTTTTTTTAATTATTTTTTTTTGGTTGAAATCGTTAGATTTTTTTTTTTAATGCGTTGTACTATTAAATATTAATCGTTGATACTTATTAGGTACGATATTGTTTACTTTATTGACTAATATACTAAAATGACATTGTAAAATAAAAAGATAATAATCAGAACATCGGCAATATTGTCACATACTGTCATATACACCTTCTCCCCAAGTTACACATTCATAAAAAATGGTCAACCGTGATCTCAAGCTTATGTAAGAGTAAGATCCTTTTCTTTAATTCCTCCACATCCGAATTTATGAAAATTAAAACTGCGGAAATCAACCAAACTTAAAGACACAGACAAACACTGTTTTTTTTTTTTTTTTTTTTAGAATTATCATCAAATCTTGCAAGTTGTTGCTTGAACGTTTATTGGATCGGATTTGCAGTTAAAAAATATGCATTGACATTCGTATTATAAGGTTTTAGGTGGCAATAATTCTATCACCTTAAATGAACAGAACAGGTCGTTGTTGACTTTTGGATCATACGATTTTTATACGATCATAAAAATCTGACATCAACGAGCTCCGAAGGGGTGCTCAATTTCACATTATTGTACATATATATTTTCAAATTAGCTTTGTTTCACTCTTAGTATTGTTTTTTTTTTTGGGGGTTATCATTTGGAAGTTCTTGAAGACCAAGTCTGTGGTATGTATAATAACCACGTTACTCATCGCTTCGAGGTCAATGTTGAGGATGTCAATGTTAAGGGCGGAAAAAAAAAAAAAGTATACGGTGAAAATCAAAGCAAATAATTCAACATCCGTCAATTCATTTGTCATTTTGTCTTTAATTTATGGGGATTAATTAAATCAAAATGACCAACATAAACTATTTTCAGTAAAATTTTAATGAAGTTTTTTCAATGTCGCGACATAGGTATATCAGTTGCTGTCTGGAGAGGGAAAAACGTTAGAGTAAATTGACAATTATTGATTAATAATAGCATATGAAAACTTGAAGAAGATTTTAATTTTTTTTTTTTTATAAAAAAAGTCCAGCTAAGGACGAATAAGCCATAATTTTAAAACAAAGAATTAATTAACAACTTGCCAAACTAATATTCTCTCTTGATATATTCATAATCTAAAATTAAAGTTGATAATGTTATTAATTAATCTGGTGGATGTTGGAGTGTATGTGGAACGTCGCTTTCGTTTACATGTGATTAAACGAATCGATCATAAAAGTAAAACGTGCCTTGAGAGAACACATCTACATGGATGTATTGATCCAATCCTGGACATTGATAATCTGTTCCCTCAATTCTTATACATAAAACATAAATTTGATCTAAATTTATATCTTGCAATTTAAACTACCAAGAAAAACATCATCTTACGATAAGTTTATCATGTAGCAGTGTAAAACCTAGGTAACTACCTAGATCGTCCACTTATCTTTAATTTCCAGTAATTTTTCTGTTAATATATATGTTATGGGTTATACTCCCTCCATTCCGAAATTATTGTTCACTTGGATTTTCATTTTTAATTCAAATTTTACTAAAAATAAAATCTAAAACTAGACAATAATTTTAGGACAGAGAGAATATGTTTTTAACGTGTCTACATGAAAGTTAATTGGATTTCAACATTTAAGAATGGTA